TACTGGCATCTCATAAATTGTAACGATAATTTTTAAAAATAGCATGCACAAAGAAAATGACAAGGTGATAAGCAGCTAGAGCAATTTTTTTTAACACTGACAACTAAGTAGATGATTAATAAGTTTGAAAATAATACTGAATAACATCACTAAGATGAAACAAAATTGTTCCAAGCAATCTCCCATAGAGTTTTTTTTGGTACTTTATGTGCAGTCTGTAGTACACACATAACTCTATCTCTTTCTAGAATTTCTATTTTAAAATTGTGTATCTCCCAGAAATGCAGCACATAACACAACAGGACCCTGAACAAAACAAAACACCAAGAGAAACCACCAAGACAGCAAGTCAGGACCTGTTCCCACCTACAGTCAAAGCTGCTTTATTTTCAAAATCCAGTATTATTCAATGATGAATTTTCTGTTACTGAATTTCAATATTCATGCCTTCACAATCATCCCTCAAATGGGACTTGAGCAAAATTTAGAAAAAAATTCAATCAAAGTGATTTGAAATATCTGCTTTCAAGCTCTTCAACACCTTAGATTGAAAGGCTGCCCAGGTGTCCCAGGAACAGACAAGGCTGAGCTGTGATTCTCTCATCTAATCTTTACCACAAAACAGAATGTGCCTTATTCTGCTCAAGACAGGGTTTGATTACTTAAATATTTCTGGCACAGGCTGACAGCACTGAATTAGCACTCCAAGGACTTTCCATGGATTTGCTTGGCCTGGAAACCCAAAACTGTCTCTTCCCAAAGCACCCGATTCCCTCATGCTCAGAATCACCTCTGCCTTCCCTCTTATTTTCTTATACATTGAGACAACTCTTCAAAAGGATGCTGAACTTGACCTGGTAACTTGACCTGCTGTAACTTGACCTTGGTAACTCTTCATGCTTTCTTTGCTAGACAGGGGGTTTGGATGACAAATCTTAAGCATGTGCACACAGTCTGGACTTACTAATTTGTGCACTACCATTTATTTCCAACAAGGAATGTAGATCTTTTTGTACAACTTAAAATATTTCATAATTTAAGGTAAGAAATCAATTTAATTTTCTATTGTGGCTACCTATTTGACACCACAGACTATCTGAAACCATTTTAATTAGTATAAGAACAGATAACTAATAGATTACAGTCACAGAACTTCCCTTACCATAAAAGACCCCTGCAATTTATTACTGATTTTTGTACAGAATGCAGCAATAAATCAAATATAAAATAATTCAAACTATATATTTGTACAATGAAACGTCAGAAAGAACTGAAGGAGCACATATATATTCACTGCAAGCCACATCTTAGGACAACTGAATATAAAGCTCATTTTTACACCAAGAATACAAATTCTAACTCTCATTCTCTGTATTGAAAAGAGACTTCAAGTGACAGAATTTAAATGAGTAATTGGCATTAGGTATGGTTATTTCAAGAAAAAGAACAGTAATGATTTCTTAAAAAATATGACTATTGCCAAACTATTGCCCATCAGCAGCCAAAATGCCACATTTCTGACACAAATAAACCAGAGTCTCAGCTACAGGGAAAAAAACCTGCATAGGACAGAATGCTTTTTAACTGCACAGTAACTAAAATGCTACAGATTCAAAAGTAAGTAGTATACAAATTAGTGACATCTTAGTAATATTAAGGACCCAAAATATGGTAAATATCCACAGCCATAGGGCTATACACAGCTCATTTTCCTATATAATCAGAATACTTCATCCTCACCCAATACCACCCTGCTGTCTAGATCTCAGACTCCAAGACACTACAGAACATTAGGGCTGGAGAAAAACATGTGGAATCAGCTTGTTCCCTACCCGTTCCCAAATTTTGAAAATTTAAAAGGGATAGTGCAGGTGGTAATGCAGATTTCATAGCATATTTACATAATCTTTCACAGTTTAACCAGTAGAAAATTTTCCTTGTATTCCACCTTAACCTTTCTTGTGGCAACTTAATCCCATTGCTTCCTCCTCAACCAAAATGGGGACTTGGGGAAAGGCACTTTATCATCTCCCTCTTTTCAGCTTCCCTTCATGCATCTGAAGCCTGCTATTATGCTGGCATCTTTTCTTTGTCCTTCTGCAAGGTTTGTCACATTTACTAAGCCTGCATCATATCAGGATGCAAAACAAGTCCTTAGATCTGTTTTAAAGCTATTGAAATGTCAGCAATTACAGTGAGTGAAAATCCCAAAGAGTCTTTTTTTTTTACCCATTCTTTAATCACAACTATTCAACAACTTGTGAAATCTGAATTATATCTTTCTTCTATAACAACTGTTACTCATTCCATAGTAATTTAATACCATAACAATATGCAATACCACTATAAATGTATCAGTTATCTGATGACAGTTGTAAATCCACCATTAGTACCAGAGTGGAAAAAAAAAATTTTATTTTAACAGAATTTTCCATCCTTGGACAAAGGTCAGAACAGAATTGATCACTAAGAGGTGGACAGTCATTTCTTTGAGAGCTTTCTGAATTACCTCCTCAGAGTATAAACAGAAAGGGTTTAGGAAACTATTGGCGTAGTTAGGGAGAAAAGATAAAAGCTTTCCAAGGACTTCAAGGCTTGCTATGCATGTCCTCCTCCTTCCTGAGGGCTAATGGAATCTATATAAAAAAAGGAAGGTTTTCTTGCAAATAATTTTAGTCTGTACCACCAACAGTGAAACCAAGAGCTCAGATTTTACCTGTAAGTACATATATCATGACAGCAGGAAACATAATGTGTGCACTGAACACATAAGTACTTTCATCAGGACACTGGAAAAAATTATTTTATGTCGTGAGTGTGCTAGGGAAATGACCTGCAGATTTTGTCCCAGAGCACATGACTTCTCCTCTGCACTGCAGAGATCAAGCACATCCTCTGTCCCCAGCTTTGACTGCTCTCCAATTCAAAGCAAGCTGTGCCCTTGTAACTATAGCAACTTGATCCGTGAAGAATATTACAGTATTACAGAGGTACTTTCAGAGTTATAGTCATCATCTTGTCATGCCTTTAAAAAGTTTTCAGCCTGCATCCTCAATTACTCAGGAACTCCAAGGGAAAAACACACCATGTGCTCAGGCAGCCATGGAACCAAAGGTTGAGTCTTGGTGGAAAAGGGAAGTTGGTGGAGTCCAGCCAGAAACTGACACAAGATGCAACTCTAAAGATGACTGATTTTTAAGTTCCTTGTGATTCTTTTGTCCTTTGATTGGCTTTTTCATATAATTTCCTGCCTTATTTTCTGCTTATTTCAGTCACACTTTAGCTCAGCTTCTTTGAAGGTTTCCCTTTCTTTGACTCATATTTTTCTCCGCATATTTCTTTTTAATTATGGTTTTAATTTCCAGCCAACTTTAATTTTTTTTTCTGCATTACCAATAGCATTAGAAGAATGAAGGAGGAAAGAAACAGAGCCATTACTTTTTTTCTTTATGTTTGCACTGTGCCTGATCCTAGCTATGGTTCCAAGATCCTCTTAATTCCCAGTAACATTGATTTGACTTATCTATGGATCACTGGTATTTTTTCCTGCAGCAATCCCTGGCCCACAATTTGGTCACCTCTATCACAGTACTCATGATACTGTAGAAAATCTAACAGTTCACAATTACTACATTCTTCAAAATATCCTAAGGATGCAAACTTTTATTATGCACTCTATACTAAAAATACAACATACCATAGCAGATAAAGCATTGAAATAATTATAATTTTTATTTTTTAAAGCATTCTCTAGTCAACATAGCTCCTGTTAAAATCATGTCTACCAATAAAAATATGCATTTTTACAGACTAGGTTTGAAAAAACAAGTTGTAAAATTTACAATTTTACTGGTCTTATAAATTGATTTCAGCCATTATTGCACCACGCATATTTCACTAAAGGTGATGGAATGCTTATTTGGTTGATAGCTAATGTATCCCTGAAGAATAAAAGCTGTATGAATACATCATTTTGCCATAAAGGTGATACAGACAGCAAAAGAACATTTTGTCAACTTCAAGAGAAAAACTGAACTATTAAGAATTATTTAAAGCATCATAAAGCCTCAGCAAAATGTTCAATTGTCAATAAATGTAGACATTAATCTTTCTATCCCCTTGAACACAATTTTTACATATCGTGCTTGAGTGTACCAGATGTGAATCTTTATGCATTGCCTACTGCACATTAGAGTGCTGAGGAACCAACAAACCCTTTAAATGAAGAAATACGCCTTGAGAAGCAAAGGTCTGGTTAAAGAAACATCAGTAATTGAGAAGAAAAAGTCATGGGACAAAACTTTCCAGCACCCTCCTAGATTCAAAGCCAATCTTATTGAGATTCCATATTGAATATGTTCCTCCTTCCATGACTCAGTTTTAAGGGAAGGAGCTCCTTCATCCCTACAGCAATAAACAAAAACCACTTGCAGTATTTGACTTCATTCTCTCCTTCACTCCAAGAAGAATCCTCCAGTGCAGCAGTTTAAAAACTAAACTTGGAATAGGTCTGGGTGGATTGCCATCCTCAGCACACCAGGACTTTTTGTTTCATCTTTACATGGGTAAGACCTGTTAGTCTGTTAAATGCATAATTCCTCCACTAGCATCACATATTTATACAAATCAGCGTTACCAGACATTCTGGAAGATGCTGAAGTTTATTTATAAGTACCTTCTCACTGCCTCTAACAGGATTGGTCACATGGAATTTAATGACATCTTTCTGAAATAATTTGAGGTGTTGCTCCAATGAGGAAGTTTCTTCCTCCTCCTGAGAGAGTAGCGATTGCAAAATAATGACCCTGAATTAGTTTCTCTTTAAATATATTAATCTGATTTTGAATCATTAGTTTAGCTGATCAGCTCATCTGTACTATAAAATAAACTTTTAACCTTTAAAGAAAAGTTAATTTCACGTTACATTAAATACATTAAATTCACATTACATAAAATGTCATTTTGCTATTTTTCTTTTTCTTTCCAATAGAATAACTTACCTGTACACTGTCCTCCGTTTGTGGGATCCCCGTAATATCCTGGCATGCAGGTCTCACACTGTTTTCCTGTTGTTAGGTTTCTACACTGATCACAGACGTTGCTGTTGATGCAGGTGCTGTGGCCATTACACTGGCAAGCTGGAATACAACATTTGTAAAGCTTCATTAGTAAATTTCTCTTTGGAACAAAATCATCTCTATGTGGCTATGAAATTGTAGTACAATGTGATTCTGAGTTCAGTCCTGACAAATAACCAGCATAAATATATTTGCACTTCGACACAGAATCTCTTCAAAACAGCATTGCAATACAAGATGGATTCACACAAAAACTGCCTCTGTTGTGACATGCGAGTTTTAAGGGGCGTTTTACGAGAAAGGGCTTTTTTTTACCATGGAATGATTTAATTAGTCCTTACAGCTTTAAAATGCTGTCTAGGCATTTCAGAAAGCTTTGAAGAGGTAGCAAGTCACTAACTGAAACTCCATGAAAACCCCAATACCTACAGGCAAACATGAAGCATTTGAAAGCCTACTGTGATGGAGAACATGAACTCACAGCTAAACACAGTGGGGAGAGAGAAGTCCAAAATAAATTAACTAAATATTACCTTATTTTTGATTGTCCTGACCCTCGTTACCTTTGGCATGCAAAGCAATTTTAAGGACATCAGGACCACATCAAACGGCTCCAGTCTGTCCTCACTACACTGGATTTTGGTGAAAGTGAAAAATCTGGATTCCTATTGACATAATTTTTTCACATGTGACCTTGAAAGCATAAAATTGCTTTTTGTCCAATAACACCACTATAAACCACTGATCTTGCAGCAGAGCTCCACTCCAGGGCTTCAAATTTTGGGGAAACTCAGAAAGCACTGATCACTCCTGCAGCAAAATCACAATGTGAATCCTGCCAGCGTCATTGATCCTGCCGCCAGGTTTTGAAGGATGACCTCTCTATAGAGTGGAGCTTCAGAGCTCATGGTGCCCAGCAGATTAGTAATCTGTCAATTATAACAGCTTGTCAAATGTCAAACCATGTCAGACCTGTCGATTCCTCAGTGCCAAAGTGGGTGGAAGACTTGGAAGAGGACAGCTATCACAGTAAAATTGTATTTTTTTTAATTTGGATTTTTAATTTAAATGTCACAGTGATTGGTGTCTTGGCTATGGGAAAAAAGGGGATTCTCACTGCATGATTTAAAAGTTTTTAGAGCTGTTTTATAATTTAGTAACTTAATATATTTTTAGCCATTGCCAGACTTGGCTCATAAACCATTAAAACATCCCAAGTTGACAATCTCTTCTTTCTTCTGTAACTATGCCTAGACAATCTTCCAAACAAGTATTAAACATTTCTGTACCATTAGGTTTTCTCACTATCTTGACTAAATCTCTAGAAATCACAAGCCTTATTCTTCCCAAGAACACTTGAATTTTAGACACCTTTATGGTGTCTCCCTCTTTTGCAGTTTGTAGCCATTCTCAGGAAAATCTACACAAAAGTACCATGAGTGGCAGCTCCATTTTGGGGGTTGTGTACATGTTTTACACCTTAAATTACTTAAAGCAAATGTAAAAAAAATACAGCCCAATAAATCAAAAGTAAAAACAGAGAGTACATTAAAGAGGCGTTCTGTTAAAGTAAGATTGTCTAATTAAGAGTATATCATTGTGTAGGACAAATGCTTAATACTCATATTCTCTAACTAGTGGGCCATTGATCTATAAATTTTCTATTCTTGCTAATGCTTATTTTGGTATCTCTTAATTTTTGTGTTATACAGGGTGATGAAAGCAACCTTAATTGTAAAGTTTAGTTTTCTGCAAGTCATAATACTATCTGGTCACACATGACAGCTCTGAATTCTTACATTTTGTTGTGTCAAAGTAAATGGAAGAGATTTTAAAACAAATTCAAAAAAACATATACACAATAAGAAGTAATGCAATCAACAACTGACATGACACACCATAGAAAAATTACATTATGTATTTGCTCATTTCCTTAAAAATATGCATCTCATTGGAAAAAGTCAGAAGTGCAAGTTCAATAAATTTCAAAGTTGGTTCAGTGCAATCAAACTGGAGACATCAGTATTAAATAATTTAAAAAATCATTAAATTAATGAGACACAGTAATGAGTAATTAAGCAAGAATTAGGACTTAAATTTGTAAAAGCTCTTTTTTCTTTAAGTCCTTTTAATGTACATCACTGGCAGCAACAAAGTCATTTTCCTCAAACACAAAAATGTGCTTCAGCTGAATCCTCAGTCAGGCTGCCCTGGAGAGAAGTAATTTTATGTCTAATTTGCTTTGGACCTCTGTGTTGAAATAGCTGATGAAGCTGACAATTGTTGGTAATTATAGTTTTAAGAAAATAGTTGAAACCAGGAAAATTTATGAACAGGGTGTCTTCATTACAATCTGGATCTAGTGTAAAGATACTTCATCTAGTTATAAACAAACTAGTTAAAATCTGCTCACACTGCTTTTCAGAGAAGAAATTTAGACTTTAAAGAAAAATTTGGGCTTGCATTCTCCCTAAACCTTTCTTCTCATGATATGTATGTCAAAGCTATTTTTCTTTTCTTTGTATAATTTTTTCTTCATATATAATTTGCAATTTTATTTATAAGAACAGTTCAGTTAAACTAAGAATCCAATGATAATAAAATTGTATTCCTATCAAAATAAATATTATGACAGCTTAATTGAAGCCTATTAATTTCAAAGTGACCAATCACAAAAATAAACATTTTCTATACTGCCTGATGAATAGTAATCTTGAAGTTTTGAACAAACAGAAAATGAGAAGGAATTTAACATTTTTATCATCAGCACAATTGCCCAGAGGTGCTATAAGGAGGATGGATATGGACTACAAGGAAAAATAAGTTTATGCCTGAATGACCATGAATGGTTCAGCCAACTATTCATCAATGTGGCAGAATAATCTCCAAATTGCATGGTATAAACTATTTATAGTTTCATCCTAACTGTAAACCGTTCAGTAGGCTTACATAGATTTAGTAGAATTCTATCTTGTTTCAAGTACATCAAATGATTGTTGTGCTAAGAATAAACTGTGTTAGTATAATCCACTATAGAAAATATTCTATGAAAATGAAAACAAGAATCTTAAGAACAAAACCTCCAGCCTAAACAGATCAAAAAGAAATTTCACTTCAATTGAAGTTTTAATTCTATGACTTCTGTACTGTTTGTCCCTTAAACTCATAAAGCTAGGGAATGTTAAACTGAAGAGGAACTTTAGTAAATTCTTTATAAGAACATACAATGAACACAGAATTTTATCCATCAAGAAGAAATATTAAACAGCTCTTTAGACAAGCAATATATTCACCTATTACAATTTCACTAGTGGCATAATTTATGCATTCCAGTGAAGGGTTAACAATCCTCCAATATCAATATATAGACTGAGAAATGAAATTTCTATACAACAACAGAATGTCATGCTATTGTTTCCAGAAATGTACTAGAAGCTTCTTTGCTCAGGAAGTAGTATTACATGATGTGGAAGATTTCTTTGGTTTTAACTGAAAATATGCAACAGTGCTCACTGGGGTTTATATTTTATTTCATTTTTCTAAGACGTTAAAAAACCCTCACTCTCTATATATATGCATACACAACAGAGAGAATAAACTGAAGAAAAAAAGCAGGCAAGAAGGCAAACACAGCTGCATGTACCCATAAAATTATTGATCCTACAGAAGCTCGAGCTTCCAAAATTATCAGCAGAACATTTCCTGAAAAAATAACTTCAGCACAGTTACATTATTTATTCTTTAAAAAAGAAAAAAAAAAAAAAAAAAAAAGCCAAAAAAAAATCACCACAAAGTTTTCAAGCTGTCTTTTAAACTGCATTATTGTAAATGACTTCTGGAGGGCTGTCAAAGTCCCTAGTGTGCTTTTCATTTGCCTGCAGTCCTCCACAGCTGCTTCCACACTCTGCTGTCAGGGTTGGAGGATTTCCACATAGGAGGCTGCACCAGCACAGCTTTCACTGTCTTACAGCACCTGATATCTTCCTTACATTTCCAATGAACTCAAAAATTAAAATACTGCAATTAAGACTGGAGTGGCTTAAATAGAGACTACAGAGATTCTCTTTAAGGCTACACAAGCACATATTCTGTTCACTCTAAGTGTCTAAAAGGTCAGCTGCAAGCACAGCTCAAGTTTTGGCAGCCCCCATTCTGACAGTCAGCCAGACTTGGCAAGAGCAGGAGGGAATTTTGTGTCCATCAGTCTTCCCCTATGGATAATTTTTCCCCCATTCCACTCCTAGATGGATACAGAAGCCAGAAGAAAGGAAGAGCTGAAGAAAATTCACATTGATTTCTAAATGTGTAGGGATAGGGCGGGTGAAAGGTGAAAACTTATTTACAAATAAACGGCAATTCTGGCTAAACTACTTGCACTGCATTTCACAAGTCAACCCACATTTGTTTTCAGTACACAAACAAACTCTATATTTAGGAAATCTTTTGTAAAAAACAAGTTTTTCATGAAAATGCTATTTGCATTACTCAGAACAATCACATAATTTTGGTGTGCTTAAACTCTTATTTCATACATAAGAAAGAATGGAAGTAAACCTTACCTGGACACTGGATAAAAGACCACTCATAATTTTTTTCTTTTGGGCAAAGAGTGGCATCAAGCACCATTTCATTGGAGTGGACACTGACAGGTTTCATTGGGCCTCTGGAGGAGCCTTCCAAGCACTGTCCTTTGCCAGTGTTACTGGGATCATTGCACCATCCACACCCTGGCTGCTCCAAACACTGTCCACAGGTCCTCAGCCCAGAGCAGTTTTGAGCTTTAGTACATGGAATACAATATTAATGTATTGTTTTTTAAATAGATTGCTTGGATTTTACAATAGAAAATGGAGAATTAATTTTTCCTCGTGCAAATTTAAAAAAAAAATCGGTTATACTAGTAAGAATATCTCAGTATTCATTAAAAGCTGGACATTCTTAAAGATCACAAAACATGCAGCAGGTGTTTGTTATATCACAGTGCAACAATAAAAACTTCAAATAAACAAATAAAATTAAGCAGAACAAGAATATTGCACATCTTCATTACACACAGAAGAAAATATATATTCTTTCCTTATTAGTAGTATATAATGCATTTATTACTAATTTTACTGAGATAAACAGCCCTTCCAAAGGGAAAACTAGAGTTCAATGCAAGGTCAATAAACCAAGTAAGATTGATAATATTTATAAATAGAAAAAAACACAGGATCATTTCAAACCAAAACTCAAACCAAAAATTATTTTGGGCACAAAGTATCCCGGGATGTCACCTGAGTATTCACCTACAGATATTACTTAGTCTCCTTACACACAGCTTTTGAAACAAGCTAGCAAACCACACATCTCAAGCAACAAGTCATAATTCAGACCCATTTAAATTAACTGTATCTTAAGGTTCTCATCAGTTAGTCAGGTTTCATTTTTAAAATTGCATTCTAAAATCCAAATATCCCTTTAGACCTTTTATCCTCTATTCTTTAAAATTATTAAACGGTCTTCCTCATATTTTAAATCTGTTTAGAACCAAATAAAATTCTTATTCTGAAGTTACTGTCATTTTTTATTAATAAGAAATTAATATTTTAGTAACTTCAAGAACACCATTAAAGTTCCCAAGCTTCTTTAAGCTTTTTCTGACACGTATTAATTTTTTTAATTACTGTTGTAACACTGGATCAAATTAACATCAGACTCATTCAAACATTGATCACTATGGGTTGCTGTCTCTCCTCACAATAACTTTATAGCCTTTCAAAATTAAATTTTAAAAGCACACATGAAGGTAAGCTCCTGCTGTGAAGCCAAAATTATCCAAGTTTCTTTTTAAAAAGAAGAAAGTAATTTAAAGATTCCCAGAGTTATTTTGAAGGACACTCAAATGGTTTCTACATTTCTCAATTTGGCTCAGATGCAGCCAGAACACTGCATCCAAATAATGCTCAGAGCTACCTGGGCTCCTCTGGTCCACAAAAGGAATACTAAACAGAATGATTTCATTGCTAACCAAATTAACTGGGAGCAGAATAAAGCTAGCTCCTCTGCCTTCAGCAACTATTAAAATTGTTTTAAAGTTATGAAAGCTGTAAAAAGAAAAAATACTGCACAGTCTAAAGATACCTGCAGATATCAGGAAAACAGGCAGTGAAGAGTCTGAGAGAATCTCAAAAGGATTTTAACAGCACATAAAAGCTGAAGCAAGAGCTCTTCAATAGACTTGGAAGAATTCAAACAGGAGGAAATGCTTCAAGTTTCCCAAATATGGAAAATAGCAGGGATGGGAAAAGGACAACTGTTGTTGCAAATTGTCAAACGTGAAAAATCAGTTTTAAACCATCGGAGCTGAAGTTGAATGATACAAATTTGGGCTTTTGAATACGTTAGAAGATCAGCAGAAAAATAAAGACCATCATTCTGCACGGGCTGGCTTGCCCTTTCAGAGATGTGCTCCAAACAATCCAAATAAATCTCATGCTGCTATTTATACTCATGCTGCTATTTATAAAGCCCTGAAGTATCAGCTGCACTATCTTTACAGAGGCTAAAGCAGAACCAAAAGTGAAAATCCTCAGCTATTATCTGCAGTGGCATTCAGCTGAAAAACTGAAGAGAGCTGAGAAGCAATTGTTGATGGAAGAAGAGGATATTCAAGCAGCAATTTTGTTTTCTTTGAAATTCTAGAGGTGGTCCAAGATTGTTCAACTGTCAGCTATTCAATCAAAAATCATAATGGATGGAAGATGTAGGAAAGAGTGGAAATGCAAGTTTTTGGCAAGCAGGCATTAAAATGACAATATGTCACCAATAAAACAGCATTCCTCATTTTTAATTCCAAGTTATGAAAATAAATGTGAAGTTCTCAGTTGTTTTTTTTAATATACTTTAAATCATACATGCTTGTCTGAATTTTCTTTTCATTCAGAGCAAAACATCCATAAGCTCAGAAATTAGTAATTCAAAATAAAAATAAAATTTTAGAAACAAGGAGGATTTTTTAAAGGTATAGTTCCAGTCGGTTCTTCAAGTAGAAACACTATCCCTTGATAAGGGAATCCACTTAATAATTCATTACTTCAGCAGCAATAATGATATATTTACCTAATAAAATTTTCAAGTCATTTTAGACTAACATAATATCTGAACCATGCTTCATTTGAACATGCATTTTCTTGTTTAAATGCAAAATATCTGATGTTATAAAAGTCTGGGAAAACTGCTTACAGCCACAGAATCTTGGTTTTTTCTAATTTGTTGAATATAAAGTACATTTTCATATAAAATTACCTTTATATAATGTTGAAATGGTATAGAGCAAATCCCTTTTGCCTTATTTAATATAAAATTTTACAGACCTGACAAAAATGACAATCAAATTAAAAACAATTTCTTATGTTCCCAAACAAATTGAATCAGCATGATGTGCAAACACTACACAAAGAAAAACTGAACTGAAAGTTCAGGCTGACATAATATCTGCTAGTTCAAAAACATAAGCATCATTTATGTGGGATTCTGTCAATTTTATCTCCGGATTTTCAATCTATTTAAGTTCTGCCACAACTTGCTATCAATATTTTATAAGTTAAAAAATTGATTCCTATACAGGAGACGAAAAAAGGTTCTGTGAATTGTTACAAGAGAGAAACCCTTATGTAACTACAGAATTATTATTCCAAACATATTGACAAGAGATTAAACATTCCTATTACCTGTTACATTGAATCTGGGCACTAGAACCTGGATTAATACTGAAATTTACTAACTTAGCCAAAAAATTTACCAGAAAACTCAACATGGCCCTGGTTCATTATATTCTATGATATTAAAGATGAAGAAGGAACCTCAATTACAGGAATATGGGCACTTGGCCAATTTAGCCTGAAGGAAAAGCTTTCCTATACCTTATTTCCCTTTAACACAGTTATGTAGTGGCCTGGTACATACAGCCCTTTTTCTGTCCTAAGATTAGAATATATCAATGGTTTATTTTAAAGACACATCAAGGTCTTCTTTTACTTAATATTTTTCTGAGTTTTAGGTGAGAGCAAGTAACTGCCTTTGGGGGTTTTGATCTTTGATCTTTGGGGTTTTTTAAATTTGGATCCATAACCTGTCAAATAGAACCATAATCTAATTATGATCCTGAAACCAAGTTGCTTGTCACTGTCAAGATCATTAATCCTGTCACAAGATATCCACAAATAAAAGATTCCAAAGGCTTTGAAAATAAAAGACCCTTAGGGAGAGAGAAAGAAAATCAGCAGTAACCAGAAAAATTCTCTCAGAGTAGAGCAATAAGGAAAGTCCAAAGGTACACTTCAGAAATCCTGAAAAATTCTAAGAACCAGTCTTCTGAGCAATGATGACTGAGGAATTGTTCTAAATAAACCTCAACTAAGACAGGAATCTAAGGCACGAGGCAGCTCACTCCAGCATCTGCATCAATTATGGCACCGATAAACCCCGGAATGTCGGAACTGCAAGGGGCTGACTCCGGTCACTCCAGCTTGGGAAGGAGCTGCTGTTCCTGACACACTGAAAGGGACTTGGAGGAGATTGCTCATTCTCCCAGAGACACTGCATCAAGTTGTGATGAAATGTGCTTCCAAAGGGGACATCCAGGCAGTAACCAGGCTTCTTGACAAGGTAAGAAATCACTTGCTTCTTGTTCCCAAAGGATGAAATGGGCAACCTTGAACATTAATGCACCTGGCCCAGTCTGATCACACACGACAAAAGTTTTCTGTACCTCCACCTGCCTGATGGCCTAATAGAATTCCTTCTACTTGCATAGAGAGGACAAACAATCTGCAAGAGTTAATTATTAGGGATCAAGGGTTAATAATCCCTATCTGCAAGGGAGAAGACTCTAAGGAAGACCAAGATCATTTGTTTTACATTTGTGTTACAATATTCTCAAGACTACTACTACCCTTATAAAAATTTGTTTTTATCTTTGCATGTTAGGAAAATGGCATAGCCTGAATATGAAAAACAAGTAAATCAGAACATTGAAATCTTTAAAAATTCAGCACACTTCTTAATAACTTGATATTGTCTAAGTCTGAAGTTCTACATACTGATTATCTAATTTTAACAGTATCTTGCTCCAGCTCATGGATGTTGTTTGTCACACTGACTCTGGTCATACAAACAATCACGGTAATTTTAATTTATCTGAAAGGAATAAATACTTTTCACAATTTCAAAAGACCAAATATATTTCATCATCAAAGAACTTCCAGCATTTTACCTGTATCTAAGAAATGCATACTCAGCACTGACTTCTCATGTTAGTAGCTATATAAGGTCATTCACTTGAAAATGTTTTTATCTCTAGAGAATGCACTGAATCCCTCCAGCCATTTTGAGTGAAAAATAAAATCTAACAATATATTTAGTAAGATGAACATTCAGTAAGATACTCACGGGAGCAGGTGGCAGTTTGCCACTCTAGACACTGTCCATATGGGAAGGAGATGATGTAGGCATTGGAGTCCACGCATCGTTTGGTGCTGCTGCACCACATGCATTCCATGCCATTGCTCGTGCAGTTGGAACAGGTTGTCCTCAGGGAGCAGGGCTTTTTGCAGGGCCTGGCATTCTGGTTGGGACTGACTGGAAAAGGATCACAAATATTTTATCATTTTGAACACAAGTTCAATTTCCTTTTTCTTTCACCATTTGTTCCATTGGAAAAATCCCTGTTGAAGTGGTTGCTTCCTAAACTAGCTAAAAATATATTTGGTCCAAATTTACGTTTCTGCATATAAATAAAATAATATTTTATTTATTTTGTTTATATTTAAAATCAAAATTTAATATTCAAAACTGAAATTTAATAATAACTGCAAAAATTTAATATGCAAAACATATGACAGCTCACAGAGTCCATTTTAGTGGATGTTTACTGTGACAGTCACTTGACTACAAGTTAACTTTACAAACAAACCTAAAAGACAGAAACCAGAATTTTGAATTTGTCCTTCTTTTACAACTTTAAGATATTCAGTAATGTTCAGCATGATTCAGAAAGAACACATCAGCATTGCTGAATATCTCCATATTTGGTTACACCTACTGTTACCATTGACTATTTCTGATTTAGAGGCAAACTATAAAATTTCTGGTGTAATGCAAAAAGCCACGTGAACTAATTCTCAAATAAATATTTGCTGCTTTAGGAATATTAATAGATTACAGCTATTCAAAAAAAAAAAATTTAAAAAAAATTTATTTAATCCAAATTGTCCCCAAATCCCTCTTAGGCAAACTAAACCCCAAAGAGCTTGTTATTCACCACACCATCAGTTCCTGGGAGTAAGAGGCTTCTTACCAACAGGTTTTTCACACACAAGGCCATCTGCCATGGCAGTGCAGGGATTTGCCTTCAGCCCTGCCACCTCTGCTCTCTCCAGGTAGGCACAGAAGCCAGAGTCATTGGGCTCTCCAGGGAGCCACTGCAGGGTGGTGTTTGTGAAAGGGGACATGTCATCCCAGCCCCAGTAGGAGATGTTGATCTTGCGCAAACCCACCCAGGGGGAAATCTTCTGTGGATGAAAATGAAACAAAAGAAAGAGAACCATTTAAAATGCTTTTTGTCTTGATAAAACATTTCAAAAAAAATAGTTCAACAGCAACAACTTCACATTTTCAAAATTCACCATGCTCCTATCTCACTTTATCATCTCATCAATCACTGTCCACACAGTTTTTATCTTAATTGTTCTACCTTCCTAAACATCCCCAAAGGCCCCAACAAAAACTCCACTCCTTATATGGAGTATTTCTCTTCTACTAAAAACCTGCATTCTGTTCAATGACAATTCTGATTTCTATTATTGGTCATAATGAAATAGTTTGGTTTTTTCCCAGTGGCTACTGTATGATTATTAATTGCTAGGCCACTGTGGATAATGAAATACACATATGTTAACAGCAATTCAGAGAAAATCAAATTTCAGGAAAAAGCAGGATCAATATTCCATCCTCTAAAGTCCATAGTGCTGATACTGATCAACTTCAGGCAATTCAGAGACAGAGATAAAAATGGCACATTTACATTTCCAATGCTGTTAAATACACATTGAATATACTTTCATTATTGATTTATAAGTTATAAAACATACTCTAGAAAAAAAAACTAAAACCACACATTTTAAAAACATATTTAGGATGTATCAGTAAAACTATATCACAAATTCTACTGATTTTTATAATTTCATCTTTATACACTTAGCAAGCGAAAAAGCAGATTTTAAGGAAAAAAAGGCATTTGCTTGTTCCAGGATAAATCTACATGCATTACTTGCCACCATTGGTGTAAAAAATCTCAAGACACCCAAAGCAAACACATTTCCACACGTAATTTCTGTAGAGGCAGTTTTCATTAAGCCCAGTTTAAACACAAAGAAGAGAGATACAGAGATAACTGGGCTGTGACAGGTACATGATGGAGGTGGATTCCAGAATACCAAAACCAGCTGCCTGCCCAGGCAGAGGATACACATTGTCAGCTCCAAAGCAGAGATATTGATCTGATTGTGAATTAGATTCACAACTGATTTACAAGGTAAGTAAAGGTAATTTACAAGGTAAGTAAAACACTATAATATATCTAAAGGGAACCTGCCACTGTTAAAGTGCTATGTATTCCACAAGTGAACCAAAAGTTACTGCCATTCTCTACCACTGATCTTTCACCTTTGATCTCACGGTTCCTCTGGCCACTCAGGTTTAACCCATGGCCGAAAAGAAAATCTTTCAGTACTCTTAATTCTACACACAATCAGAACATTCTTTCTTTTTTCCCCTGTCTTGTTAGAGCAAACTGAAATATGAAGGATTATTCATTTTGTTTCAAAAATACCAGTGCTAAATACCTTTTAAAAGAATCAGTAGATATAGTTGGTATTCCTGACCTCCCGAATATGTACTCCCTATGCTCTTATCTGTTTCTGTACTCTCAGTTAAGATCATGACCAAACAAAAATTCCTTTACCTACTAACACTTAGGGACACTAAAACAATCTTAAATAAACCAGAAAATTACTAAGAAGTGTTCCATTCCATAAACAGTGATGTGTTCTGGGAGACTCTTGAAAAGCAAGAAGAACATTCAGCAAATTTACCATTGTCCACTTTGTGTCTTACTCCTGTATTTACTTCCTAACTCCATTGCTACCCAGGTGACCAACATTCCAGGTGTCTGTGAGAACTCACATGTCCTGGACACCAGAAAGAACAAGATGCAAGCAGTAAAAGTGGAACTCGGGCATGTGGAAAATGGTAGATAATACATCTGTTGTCTTATTTGTTGTTTAGTTGCCTAGATTCCTGTTTCTCTATGTGGTCTACACGGACCAGAAGACCTTAGACACCTACACATATATCTACACAGGTCCCTGTAGATGCTGAGTGTGCACACCAAGCACATATGAAATAATGTCAAGGGCTTAGGTAGGATAAACTGCTGACAAACACACACATAAACCAACCCTACATGCCTACTTTGGGATTGAAGGATTCCAGCCAAGAGAATCTTTAACATATTACTGACTGTTTCAATTGCACTGCCAAATAATTTGGCTTCAGCATCAGTACATAAAAAAAACAGGGATCATATTCCAGCTATGGTGAAAAAGTATGTGAGCCAGTAATGAAAACTGACAGTGCAGCAGTGATATTTGGAAATAAATTCTTCCATTTGAGTAGGAGACTGTCTTGGAACCCCCTCTAATGGTGACAAAGTCCCAGGGAGACTCATGAAAGCCAAAGCAGCCATAGGAGATATAAGCAGCATCCCTGAAACGAAAGACTTCATGCAAAATCAACACATATCCCAGTCATAATCATTCTTAATAGCTGGCCTATCTGGACAGCTTACAGTCATCATGTCAGGCATCTCAAATTCCATATGTACCTCTCTGGCTCTCTGCTAGGATAAACCATCAAAACACAGACCCAAATGCTGATGAGCACGTTATCAAATGCACAACATGGAAGCTGTGACCTTGCAGGCCCACTCAGGCCATGCTGTTAGGATGCCAAGCACAGATTATCCAAGCAAGGCCTCCCAAATGTTCCAGTGATGTGCTTAACATGCATATTCAATTATGTGGCATCAGTTCCATCATGTGGTGGGCCACAGGTGAAGAATGTTGGCAACAGTAGAGAGTGTGTGTGGATATCATCAAAGTTTATCACCAAAAAATGATCACTGCTGCACTGCATGGAAGCCAACAGGAAAAATCAAATCACAACAAGAGCATTCAGGAAGTTCCATATATAATGGAAATACCTGCAGCCACCAAGGCTCTGTGGCTAGCAAACTAATTTCTTTAAAAAAAAAAAGTCATAAATCTAGTATAAATTATCTCTCAAACTAATGAAAGGTTTAGTCAGAATAGCTGGGAATCTCAAAGTACTTGAAGTAACCAAGGGACTACAAATATGTCGACTGAAAACGCCAATCCAGTTTCTTCTTCAGAAGAAGAAATAATGGGAATTGGCCATAACAGGAATCTATAAAAAACTGATCACTAATAGCTTAAAAAAAATATGCTCTTCTCTTATTCTAAATTAGACAATTTTAATTTGTTTTTAAGGAACTATGTTAGAAAGGAAAATTGTGTAACCTTATCTAGAAAGCTGATAGTTCATGTTAAATTCACTGTTTACTCAGAGAATTTAAATCAGATTAAGTTGCTTTCAGATCTAAAGTGAAAGGAATCATTTCTACTGACGACACATTTTTTCAGGTACTACTGCTGAATCAGCACTAAAGTAATGAGGGCTGAATAATTTGCAGATGAGTGAAGTGAGCAAGATTACCTTTACTGAATAGCCAACTACCACTGAGGCTCAAAAATCTCCCCTGTTCCTTAATTATGCAAATTACTGAGGAACTATATATCTCTTTCAAAAAATTATCTGCACCTTTATCTAAATTCCTTTTATTTTGGATCTCAAATTGCTCTGAAAGTGCATAATACACTAACATCTCATTTTCTATTATGTGCACCACAACACCTTATAAACAAAATTCAACAAACTTCTCAGGAATTGTTTCAACTCCTTGATTTGTTGCTCCAGGATGAAACACACAATTAAACACTGAAAATACTGTGGCCTCCCAGTGCCCATATTTCCACAACATTCACAATTTGGAGAAATTGCTTGCCGTTAATTTGACTCTTTTCTGCACCATTCTGAACAAAAAACCTACTTCCTCAAAAAGCAGCTCTGTGAAAAGAAACAATGTGTTCTATGCAGGGTTTTCCACTCCTTAACTGCAGCAATTCTGACTATGCCAGATACCAGCATATTCCATGTTTTGTAAATATTTACCCAGTGACTGACACATTTTAAGCAGTGGCAGCAAGATTGATGAGTTTTAAGTGTCTCTGGATCTATTAGACACATAGGATGCAACCTGGATGCAATTAATAGTAGGAGTCGTGTTAGGTCATGAGAACACCTAATTCTCCTACTCTTTTTAAACTTTTCTGTAGTCTAATTGGTTTAAATAAAACCGTACAATCTGGCAAACTGAAAAAACTAGAACTTTCCCAATTTCTATCTACAGAGATTCTAGCTAGTATTTCAGTGAGACTTTGGTTTCTTATTGTAATTTCTTCTTTATGGGGGACAATTTTGGGGCAAAATTTGCATTCTCAGGCATCCAAAGCGAGTTGAGCTCCCCTAATCCCGACTGCAGGAAGACAGTTAAACTAGAGGTGAGCTAATGGACAGTCAATGCAACAACTGTAAAATGGAGCTAAAGTGCTAAAATAACTTATTAGACTTCTAAAACCACAACAGGGAAGTGGGAGTGGTAGAAACAGTTCTAAAGGGAGTAATTCAGAAACCAAGAGTAGATGTCAACTTCACCACAATCACACACATTATAAAACCACAGAAACATAGAGCCCTCAGAGAATACTTGGAGCTAACAAGGAATAACATTGCTATGCAAAGCTCACTAATTAACTGCAACCTACACTCAAGTGTAATTTATAAAAAAGATGCTTAGCCTTGTGAGCTGTGAGTCAAAGGAAAAGTTGCAAATAGTTTATATAATGAAAGGCTTTGTGTATAACTGTTCTCTTCTTCCTTTGTGCTTACTACACCAAAACTAAATCTTCTCAGAATTTATTGCATGCTAACAAGAAAATTATTATTTTTAGTTAAATCCCACAGTAGCAAGCAAACTCCCAAGAGAGCTAATTGCACTTTTAAATGAATATACAACATTTGAATATTAGCAGGAACAATAAATTAACCTCATATTGCTGTTTAATCTATTTTTCAGAGAAATTCAAATCTTCCCTTTCATAATATTTTGCTTACTAGGTCAATAAAAGCATGTAAGAAAAAAATATTAAGTGTAATTTTTCTTTAGTGTGGGAATCTGCAGCCTATCCATTGTGTTTACTTTGGCATTCTTTGACAGAATTTAATTTATTTTTCATGAACAATACCAACTTGACTTTAAACTGCTGGTGATAATTTTAAAATAGGTTTGCAAATTCAACAGTATTTTGAGTTCATAGCACACAGATCTTTGTTTTGTCCCTTTCTTTAGTACCAAATGAACATTCTCCTTATCCTTTAAAAGGAGGCAACCTATTGATTTCCAGTTTAGTATTGGTATTAGGAGAAATTATTTATACACAATGAGGTCTGGAGAGGGTATGGAGACAATGGCAGTCCCCTCCCTCTGAATTTTCCCAACACTTCAATGTATTATTCTAAACATGATAAAGAAATTGTCCTAAATTTGTCCCAGAAGAGGGACTTTGTGTATTAGGAAACAATCTACAAAATCACATGCTGTTTCTATTAACAATAAAGAATGCTGAAGTCCTTCCAGGTTGTAGATTTACTGATACTGTTTGAGTTTGTAAAATACACAACAGCTACCTAAGTTGCTTTCCTTTTCTCAGCATAAGAATACCAAATAACAAGGAGATAAAGTCAGAATCATATTCTTATTTCCAAATGCTGCTCTGGAACATTCATTAATCCTGAATTTTTTTGTTGTTGTTGTTGTTGTTTTCAGGTGAAACTGAAACATTTTTTCTTTCCCAGGCTAATGATTTTAAAGCCTTCAACATTTCACCACCCAAGTCAAACTGTACTGCAGATAATAGAGATTAAAACCACGGTGTTCACCTTACAGCAGCTCTGACTCCATTTGTGAACTCCCAACTAGCACCTGTTACAGAAAAAAAGCCATCTAAAATGAAATCTCACTCTTTAAATCATTATGATTGCAGTTTGAGAGGGAAAGGCAGGCAAAGAAAACCAAGAAGTTTCAGAGAGCCTCTGTCGCACCTGATAACACATTTAGGATGTATCACACTGAGTAAATGCAGCTGGACAGATAGATATGAATGAAAAAAATCTTTTCTTTTCCAAGTGCCACTGAAAACACCAGGATAATTCATGGTAGAATTTCATTAGAGGTTCTGACAGCTAAATGATTGTTTAATCCAAGATAGGTTTTCTAAAGTGGATAAATTTGTCTACAATTGCTTAAAATGTATTTGAGGTATCTCAAATTTACATCACCACACTGGCTCAGGACGTACTTCATTTAAATAAAGATATGCTCAACAGGATGTCACCTTGCAGAAGTTCTAAGCTCTGAAATGTAAGAAATATCTTGCTTCCAAACACTAAAAAAGCTATTTCTCATCTACACCTCAAGCCAGTCAGCCAAAATCAGTCATATCGATAGTCTATCACACTTTATTAGATTTGAAGGCATCCTCTGCAGTATTTTAATAGGAATCAGGGGAAAGGAAAGCAAAAAGGAAAAAAAGGTGGTAAAATAAATAACCATAGCAATCATGTTGCTAACATCATTTTGTTCTTGTTTTTGTTTCAATTACATTTTCAACATTAACTCATCAAAGAGTGGACAGACAAAATGTGTCTCAAGGCTGCATTAAATACAGTAACAGGGAAGAACTTGTGACATAGAATGATTTCTCTCCTTCATTAGCAAAAAAAAAGTAGAAAAAAAGGTGTAGTTCTAGTAAAAAATAATTTCTCTGTCCAGTTCCTATATGTACTTGGAAAAAAACAACTAAAACCTCAAGTACATGACCTATGTTTGAATCTGTGTTTTGCAGTGGAATGCTAAAAAGGATAATAGGCCATTTTTGTCCACAATATGTGTCCCTAACCTCTTGCTCTCAGATTCATTAATAACATAAAGACAATCCTTAAGTGATGTTTATTTTACATGATCTCAATTAATTGGCAGCATAACAACTTTGTAAATCAAATACTAATTTCATATAAGCTTTAATTATTATCCACAATTATCTTTCATTTTCCTGTAACTTTAAAATCCTAAACTACTTAAAAATTTTAGGATTTTATATTAACAAAGTGCTGCATGTTCTACAAAACTAAATACACACTCCCAAAAATAGCCCTTGCTAAGAACAATTGATTTGCATGTAAAATCAGAATCATATTCTGCTAAGACATCCCATCTGATTGTGCACTGCTGGGTTTCATATTTCTGGGCATTCTTACATTTCATACACTTTAACCAATGATGTTAAAACGCAGCAATAAGCATTTGAATATTTAACTGCCAAAAGATTTAACCTGACTACCCAGGGACAGGTGATTTTTCTTCCCTTCTCTTGTTCCACAGTTAACAAAAGTAATATGGATCACTTTTCTAAGGAATATTCTGGTGGCAGCTTGCTGTATTTGCCAGAGGCATAGAAGAGTTTTCAGCTCCCTCTCTCTCCCCACCATTATTAGAGAAAGCTAATTAGCTCCTGCTAATTCCAGTGCTGCTGTGCAGGGAATTGCTACATGTTTTACACATGAGTGCAGATTCTCTGTGACCCTTTGATCCCACAAACCAGTTGCAGAGCAAACTGCCTTTTCTGGAGAAGTTACACCTGCACTGGTGCATGGGGGTGATGCATCCCTATTGCTGGATCCTGCCCTTGCCTGTGTTCAATTTATGGATTAACTCTATCACAGCTGAAATCAGGACACAAAATCAGTGTTCCAGCCATTCTCTTGAGCAAATACTCTTCCAAGTAAATAGTAACTTTTAGCATTTAAATCTGGTAAGGTGAAACCTTGGGAGCTGCTCTGTGGTTTGTTTTAAATCTGAAGGTTTTTTTAAACCTTAATATGCTACACATGACTTATACCAGTCTTTAGCACATTTCTTTGAAGGCATAAACTTTCCTCTGTTTGGATAAAACCCTAGAAAAGATTTCTCAAAGCCAATTTGTTTCACAGAAGCACCAATTACAGTTCCTCAAGTTACCTGAAGTGTATACTTCTGTATTTCATCCAGAACAAATTCCACTTCTTTTGAGGTTGTTAATGAGGCGAGATTTCCACTCAAATTGTAGCAATACAATTTGGCATTGTCATAGCTTTCCCGACTGGAATTTATGTGGAGGCAGGCATCTCCAATGTGATTCCATCTTTCTCCACACAGGTGAGCTGGTGCAAAAAGGATACAATTAAAGCTGATTCAAAAAAACTTTTAAAAAACCCAAGGGAGTCTGAATTTTATGTTCCTGAGATCGTAAATCAAAATGCATTCCACACCCAATTTCCTTTCTCACATCACATAAATTCTGAAATACCAAGTATCACCACACAGAATACTGTATTGTTACAGAAAGAAGCTTCTAAGAACTTAAAAAATAATTATAAGATATATGCTAAGTTTCAGCATATTTTTATGCCACTATTTCTTCCCTGTATTCAGAATTGAGTACAACTAAATATTAAGATAAGATTATGTACATAATTAATAGTTTTAACAACTCTTTTTAAGTGTTATGTAAATTTCAAAATCTAATGCCTGTCCTAGAATTATGACACCACAACTTTACATTATTCTTGTTTTATCATACCTTTGCATTTATATTTGCCTTAATACCAATGCAATCCAAATTATAGAAAATTCAGATAACATCTCAGAAAATATTTCTCTTCAATATTTTACAGCATTACTCGGACTCAGATAACTATTAAAAAGATAAGTAAGAGCAACTGTTATAGTCAATCTACAGAGATTACATAAATAGAGTTTTGAACTGCAGAGAATAAATTAAGTTAGTTAATGAATCATCTCTGTAAAAAACAAAGTGTTCATTAACTTCATCTGGACATAAAGATCAAATAGAAAAGGTTCTGACATCCAACTCCATATATGTAGTTATGAATACAAAATAAATACTATTTCAGGATGTTAACAGTCACCTTCTGAGAATATTTCATATTAGCATTTTAATATTCACTGTTTTCATAGTAGTACCTATATTAGACAATCAAGAAACTAGATCTTGGGCCCTATCTGCACAGGAAAATTGAAGTATAATTGAATAGAACTTTTAAGGCAAAACCCCAGCTAGCAAAAGGAACAATGTCAGTGTCCATGTAGCAGTAAAAGCCCTGCAATGGCCATTCAGCTCTGCACTCGGTGCTCCCTGCAGGCCAGAGCTCATCTCTGGCCTGTGCAGAAGCACACGTCATTGTGCCTTCACTAATGCCATTATCTGCCCTAACACAATTAAAGTGACTGACACCCCAATCAGGGCTGAAATCACATCTGGGTTCACTGGCACAGGCAGGCAAGAGGAGTGAGCAGGAATAAAACAAACCCACGTCTGCTCATGAACAAGCATTCTCTAGCAAGGACAGAGGAGGTTTTCTCAGGTTTGAAACCAGCTGTGAGCAGCAGTGTCCCCTTACCAGGCAGTGCCTGGCACTCCTGCTGCCTCTGGTCCCACTGGCAGTTCAGGTGCAGGGAGCAGCTCTTGCAGCTCGTCAGCTTATTGCAGATCTGCTCATTCCTCACGTGACATTTCGTGTAGTTTTTAACCGACTGTAAAAAAAAAAAAAACAGACAAAGCAGCATCTCAAGCAGACATCTATTAAAAGAACAGAAGTCACAATGGAAATACAGAGCAGGTAGATCCCTCCCAGAAAGTCGTGGCCACCTAAAAGCTAGGCTGAATTTAAGCTCTTTATCGAGAATCCTTTACCAGATGAAGAATGCAACACTGGAGCACAAATCACGCCACTTGTTCTACACAACTGAGTGTCAAATTGAAGAGGCCAATTCCCTGTACAGAGAGCAGGAAGTGCTTTAAAAACTAAACTAAATATTTATTTATTAGATAGTTTAGGGTTATACTTTCATTAAATTATTTCATCCTCTGCAGGTTAAAGCAAGAAAAATAGTGAAACAGAACATAAAAATGGCACAAGGTGCAAAATAATTACATGAAACTGACTGAAGGTGCAAGAATATGCTCCACACATGACATAAAACTGGGGATAACTTTATTCTTTTGGTACCTTAGTATACAAGAAAAGCAGTAAACACTGAAGGAATTATTATCTGGGGGCTTTTATTGGATTTGGTCAGTATTTGGGTTTTTTTCCTGAAAACTGAGGTCTTCCAAGTTAGACATTTTGAATATAAATCTTTCTTCCCTTTGCATAGTACTTTTAATTAAGACATCGTATTGATACCTTATTTAATGAACTGCCTTAAATCCTCAGCCAATTCATCAGCTCACCTATAAGGCTCTCTCTACCAACTTAATTTCAAGGTAATAATTAAAAGTAAGTCCTAATGCAAGACAGATTTATATTCACAGAACAGTTGAGATTGGAAGGGACCTCTGGGAGTCCTTTTGTCAAACGCTAACAACTCTTGTCTCTCTTAAACAACACAAGATTAAAATAATACGTGGCAGCAATAATGGATTGCACTTGGATAGCAAATGCATGATTTATTTAAAATGTTGGTTACTTACCTTTCTACTAGTCTCCAGGAGTATGATTTAACAACGTACAAAGGGACTGCATGACAAGAAGTTACACAGTGGTTGGTACTGGAATATGGCACTGATAGGGCAGGGGGGAGAAAAGCTGTCTCCTTTTATTTCTGTTTTTTTAAAGTCCTGAAATAATGCATTTGTGAAAGTGAACCAGCTTCATTGCAGCTGAACAACACTGCGGTTGAGGCTTTTTATTTTATTTTTTGCCTTTAATGGATGAGATGCCTACCAGTAAGTTTATTTTAAGAGGTCCTGACTTTTTCTGTTCTATAGGAAAGGCTACTGTGAAGTAAGAAGAACCAGAGAAGCAGGTCTAGGTGCAGGCATCTGCACCACAACACGAAACAGAGACAAAGGCAATGCCAGCAAGTAACAGACTTGTTACTATCTAGGCGAAAAATGCACAAAAAAATCTTTGGTACAAACCCACATTTAGATTCCCTCAGTCATGAAACATACTCACAAAACTTCCTGAGGAGATGCTTTAAAATGAATTTTAAAGCACAAGTAACCACCATCTGCTCATTTACAATAGCTCAACTAATACTCACTTTTAACATTTCATTTTGACATACCCTTAAGCATTCAGATTTCTTTTTTAAATTATATACTCTTCAGTGGTATTACATACAGATTACAATTTTCCACCTAAGCTGAGATATTTGTTCTATTACTTTCTAATCATGAAGCTTGTTGTGAGCTGGTTATTTAATGTTTAAAATAAAATTCAAAGTACTAGTGACTGTTCTATAATAATATTCTTTGTTGTATTCCCTTATTCCCAGCATTTATTTCCCTTAAATCCAATTTAAACACTGCTTGCCTGAAAATCTCATTAGTTCAATGTAGATGTGAATCCAATAGGTAATTCATATTAACACAATATTAAGGTTATAACTTAAACTACCAAACCCAATGAAATTCAGAAAGATGACAGTCCATCTGTTACAGAACTTCTATATTGCTGTAGGATATTTATAATGTTTACACACCAAAGCATGAGTAAATCATGTTATGTATAAAGCCTCCCTCATGTCTGATTTACTTAGATTTTTTAAAGTCCTGATCCTGATATGGTAGTATACAGACAGACTTATGAACTGCAGTGATTTTCTGAATATTTACTGGAGAATGAAAATACTACAGTAGTTTATCTTAGAGTTTCAGAAATCACTATTAAATTATGTACCTCTCTCCTCCTCCTGGATTTTTTCAGGTTAACAGTATAACCTTGTCTAGTTTGCCTAGTGTAAATGCAAATTATTTATTTATAGATTCACTATTATTTCCCTGAAGCTACTCCCAAAACTTGCTGTTGGGTACTTCTTACTCATAAATTTTCTGTTTCCTCCAAGATAAATTTGATTCTATTCATTATTTCCTTCTACTACTTTATATATTTCCTCTTGACTATTCTTTGCATTCCTGAAATGTAGGCATGTTGCCATGATTATTATTATTATTGGTATGAGGGTATCATCCAAGGGCTCCCACTGTGAAAGGAGCTTTCTGGAAGCGATTACCAAAAAACAGGAATTCTTGTCTTTAAAGCACTGTGTAAAAATATTTAACAATGTAGGACTATAGGCCTCTTTGAAGCTTCCTCTAATATCCCATTTCCTTGGCAAAATGCTCTTTATCATCCCCTTCATGGATCTGACAAACATTTGTTTTACTTGCCACACTCAGATAAAGAACTCTTAAATCACACACCATTCTGGGCTGTGTTTAGGTAACTATCACCAACTGGGGCTTTATTGTATTGCACTTGTCCCCACATGAACCAACACACAAGAATTCCAGTCTGAGAGGAAACATGCCCCTCTTGCAGTAATGTGCCCCCTTGGAGCTTCTGAAGGCAATGACATTTTCCAAAATGTAATACTGGGTGGGGGCAGAAATAAAATAATTCAGCTATGCCTCAACATACTAAGGCTCTCTTTAAGGCTACTTAATCAATTATTTTTCTTCTCTTCAGAAATTAAAAAAAATTGATAAAGTAAATTGTTTTACTCTGAAATTCAATCCCTCTCTGGTATTTCTCAGTAAAGAAAACTGAATTTTATTGCAATCTGTCAGCCCTCTCCAGCAATTCACCGTTTTATTTGGTAAAGTACAAGAAGATTTTGCCTTCATGGAGGAGCTTACTCTTCCATGGTACTACTTCATGAAAAATGACATCTTGTAAAGGAGCAGCAATCTAAAATTAAATTAATCTCCCACAAAGCCTTTTCTTTTTTTCTCTTTTTTTTTGGTACAGACTTGTTTCCTTTATAAAATATAGTCAATTTTCTGCACAACGTGATCAGCAGCAAGGGAGTATCATTTTCATAGGATGCAAGATAAAGCATTTTATGTGCAGACGTAGAGAGTGAATACAATTTCATAAACACATTAAGCAGATCCAGATCAACCAGGCATTGCAAGCCTGTGCTTGCAATGCCATCAGACATGAGTGTGATATACATGATCTGTATGATCTATACCTTGATGATGCATGAATCTGCACAGCAGGGGAATACAGTGTCCTGTTAATGTGCTGCCTTACATCAGAGGGTGAGCACAGGCAGGTGAATGTGCATCATCAATGCATTAGTACTACTCATGAAGTCCATCTGTCCAGCTAGAGTTATTCCAGGGAAATGCCCATATTTTACAGGCCTTCCAATCAGCAGAGCAGCCACACTTTGCAGTATCTGCTTTGCAGATATCTGTGACCATGAGGCCAATGCCAAACTTGTTGACAGCACATTTTTAGTAAACTGGCCAGTCTCCACAAAGCAACAGCAGCAGATTATAAAACATTATTGTCGTTCTCATCTGGAGCTCTATGATCTAAGTCATAAATCAAGGCCTTTGTACAGCTGCAAAGGCTCCTTGTGATGTTCATAAGCCTACAGCATGTTATCCCATATTACCATCACAGTTCTGTCACAACATTTTCATTTGTGGGCCTTGTCCAGAAGTAGCAGTCTACGAAAATGGATAATCAGCCTGATCCATTCTGGTTTTCCACATGGTGCCATTCTGTTGATGCTATTTTGGTGGGTTTTATTAAAGCTGCAAAATTCTGCCTCCATCATCTCACAGCCAATAGACTAATTTTACAACAGCCACCTCCCATTTATGACAGCACCTCTTTCCAAAAATCATTTTGATGAATTTTTGCTACCCCATTCTTCATTAACTACACTTATAACCTTTGCTATTCACTTCAAACCCTAAATAAAAGACAGGAAATGATACAGAGCAGACTGGTGCTCATTTGCTTATTAAGATGACAATCTTACTCATAAAAGGTTGTCAAAGAAGGACACTGAACCAAGAAGTTTGTGCTAAAACACCTAATGATCCACATTTATTAGAGATCATTTATTAGGAATGAAGATGGTCAGCTCCTTAGCAACTATTCCTTGTTCAAGAGCTGAAAACCATGGTTAGAAAATTAGCACCTAATGGAGAACAATGTGTCAGGAAAAGAAGGACCCTTGAAGATCACAAAGGAAACTAACCATTAGCACCTGGAATGTGAAATCCCTCTGACAGACTTATAACCTGACTACTGATGAATCTGTGTCTGCATTGCTTTTATTAGTAGTGACTACCTACAAATGCCAGTGATTAGAGCTGTCTGTGCTCACTCTGAACAGGCAAGATGTGAGTCACAATCAATCCAGCTCACACCTTAATTTGTCTGGAGAACAAGATTGATTTGCATCAAGTTCAAGCCAGAGAGCAAGATACTTTTACTAATGAAAGTGTATCAAGAAAGGATTTTGAACTCAAGTACAGCCAGGTGTCTATGGATAGCTGAAAAGTGTAAGGCAAAATTTATAATGCTAAAACACTATTATAAGCCTGACAAAACTCAAATGAACAAGCAAGAGATGCAGCAGCTGGTGAATAACAACATGGCACTAGATAATATTAAAAAGAGAAAATTATAAACTTGCATGAATCTATGTGATCTCATGGCTTGTAGTTAAAAAGATCAGAACCAAATTATCACACGCCAGTGGACCTCATGGTTACAGAAGCTCATATTCCTTTAATGAGAAGACAAGTGACTCCATGACAAAGAAAACCATTTCTATGATGATCAATGATCAGAAGACCATGACTAATAAGACTAGCCTGGTCCTGTTTGATGGGAAAAAACCAAACAGCACCCTTGATGGGATTCCATGTTTTCTGCCTGTCTACCACATATGCATACCACATATGCACAAAATCCAAGTTAATAATGACTCTGACTTTTCGAATGTCATTAATTAGGGGATAAAAGTATTTGTCAAAAGATATATATAGGAGGCAACACAACCCTGAAGAATACTCATTTTACCCTGAAATAGATTTTTTTGCTGCCTTCTGCAACATTTTTAGCTCAAAAGCCTGGAAAACAAGTTTGTGCTGGCTAAAAACAAACAACTACTAGTCTACTAGACCTAGAAAAGGAGAAGTACTGCTAGCATGCTCAGATTTGCGAGGACTCACCATGCTGCAGTTGCTGTTTGCTGAAATGCACTTCTTGTCGTCGCACCACTGGCAGCCGTTGGTGTTGGCGGTGCAGCTGGCGCAATCCGCGTACCGGTAACATCTGTCGTCTGCAGCGGCTGCCACACAAACCAAACACAAACGTCCCACAGAAGCAGAATAACGCCACGTTCCTGACACTTCCTCAGAGCTTTTTCTGTTACAGCCTTCATTTGAACTCTAGCCATTCATAAGGGTTTAAGTTACTGTAGGAAATTCATTCTATTCAGTTAATAGGATTTACTCCTTTAAAAATTCCTTCAGTAACGACTTTATTTGAAGGTTTGTAAGTCTTATATCAACTAATGGAATATTCACTGATTTAGAGCATGAAAGCTCTCTTAGCACAATGCAAAAATTAAGAGTATGAAAAACTTTTTTCAAGTATTTTTCCTTCACTCTTCTAACATGGAAGAAAACTTTTCTTCAAATGCAGGATTTTATAAAAATATTAGATGGCTATGCAAGAAGATGAGATCAAAGTAGTAGATAAAACAAACTAAGACAGATATGAGCACCATATGGACATTTTAAATCCTTGTAAATTAATTTATAAACCTAATAATGACTGGTAAGTTAAAGGTCTGTCCTTTAGCTACAAAAACTACTTGAAAAAGACTTAATGTTATATTCTCAATAACGGGACTTGGACTAAAATTTAGGTTATGTAAAATTATTTAGGACACAAATTATTACTTCTGTTTAAAGGAGGCAAGGTTTTAAAAATCACCATGATCCAAAACAGAAGAATTTGTATCATCTCCTGTGCTGATTTGTGTGTTTAATTCCTATTTGGTTTAGCTCCTTTACTTTCAGGTTCATGCAAGCTTAAAAGATTCTCTTGCCAGGGAAGTCTTGTCATCCAAGAATTGATCTTTTGAAAATCACTAAAATTTCTGCTTATCCTTTAATATTGACCATCAGCAGTTTCTCAGATGATACTCTCAACCAGGTAACAACTGAGCCAAGTAATGTAAAAGAATATATGAAAAATTGGCTTTTGGCAAAAAATTACCACTTGAAACTGGAAGAATTTGACAGCAGTGAAACACTGCTACTCACACAACTTCTTCAGAACTGGAATTATACAGACCTCATCTCTTCCAAGTTGAGTTGTACTTTATTTCCACTGCAGCACCTGTACTTGAGAAACTGCTCTAAATTTTTTGTATTCCTTCATCCCATCTGTGCTTTGTTTTGTTTGGCTTTTATAAACACCTGTTGCTATGATCAACTTTTTATGAAATCCATTTTTATCTGTATTACTTTTGAATGTAATGCCACAAGGGGTTTTTTTTCTTTTTCTATATAGATGAAACTTTCTAGACTGTAGACCTTTAAAAGTTCTCAAACTGTACAAAAGCCATTTTCCAGAAAACTGTACCTGGATAATGTTTTTGTTATATCACATACCTTTTTTTTTTCTGAGTTTGAGATGTTATAGCCAGTTTAGAAACAAGTAAAAGGTATCAGAAAAATAAAATGTCTTGAAGTGTTGATTAATAGTAGTACTAGTAACTTTTCAACAAATATTAAACACAGACTGGCAGTTTAATTGTATGGCAGTTTGTACACACAGCACACAGCCAAAGTCTGGGAAGCAATTTTACACTGTGCTGAAAGGAACGATGCACAGAAAAAATAGTAGGTGCGTGTCGTAGGGATAAATATTCTGTTCATGTGACATATAAGAACAACACTTTCACAAGCAATTTATTTGTGACAAGCCAAAATGCTTAGGAATAGGTTGGAACAGTTATTCATAACAGTAAATTGCTGTTTCAAACAATACAGCCATCACAATGCCACAGAGAAATTCATATGACAAACTTGAACTCATCTGACACACTGCAAAGGGCTTGTTTGCCTCAGTTTTTTTTCCACCTGTGCCTGCACTATATTCTTCTGTACAAGTGCTTCTGTTCATAGATAATCTGCTCAAAGCAGTGATACTTTCCTCTCTTACTGGCACACACACGTATGGGAGTGCCATATGTCCATAACACCAGGTATCACTTGCAGAGCCCATTTGTAGTCTCACTGCTCTGCTCTGCCTTAGCACCTTAAACTTGTTCTCTTTTGCCTCTACTTCTCTGCATGTAAAATACAAAAGGATTCCACAACTGAATTATTTTTTTTTTAAATAGTCTCTGTATCTCTTGCACTGGTTATTCTCACAGGGGAACACTCTTAACATTCCAGTCACCACTTCCACGTGGTTACTTCTTTGAGGGTTGCCCATCCCCATCTCCTACATTGCATTAAAAACCTGACTAGAATTCACTTACCTGTTTTCTTGGGACATTTTGCTCTAAGGATATTATTAGCATGTCCAGATTCCCAAGATTCACAATGCTTCTTGTTCCATAGACACCTTATTCCTGGACGAGCATTTTTGCACAGCTCTTCATCTCTGAACGCTTCACAGTTGGGAGGCTTGTACACGAGGATGTCATTCAATAGAACACTTGAAAAACCCCCAAATATATACATGGACCTATTGGGAAAAAGCAAGGAAATTTAACTGTTATTGTAGACACATTTTCTTGATGCACCATTAAAATCCCACATATTATCATTAAAAAAAAATCTTATTCTTTCTCTAATAAAGACTCTAGCAGTGGTTCCTTTATTGATTACTTTTTCAATTTATTTCTCTATGGAAGTTGAGAGTAACAAAAAAATTTGCTGAGAGCTCCCGGTGCTGTATGTATTATGGAGTGGCATATCCAAATATCTGAAAAAAAGAATGAAAAGCTTTGGAAGAATGCACTCATTTTTGCAGTTAGATATTGAGAAGAGAACATGGAATACTGGTCTGCTGAAAACAAGAATATTCTTTGCAAGACAGGCAGCAAAAATTGGCAAGATGGTTATTTCTTTTTGGTAACATTTTTGGTGCTGACACAGGAACCAAAAGACTAAACCTGAGTCTTCACCCTTCTCATTAAAACCGACTGTCTCAGGTAAAAGACAGTCATAGAAAACCTCTATATCTGTTGTATTACATACTCCTAAAACAGAATTAATCACAGAGCTACCAGTAGCAAAAATATGGCGAGTGTCTTGTTGCACTGTTGCACTGTTTTGGTACCAAAAACCCTACCAAAAATACCACTAATTCTTAAAAAAAAAAAAAAAAAAAAAAAAAAAAAAAAAAAAAAAAAGGCATTTTTAATGTAATTAATAGAAAGTGACAGTTCTCAAAGCATCAGGCATGGCTTAGATGGCATAAAACACACAAATCATAATGAAAAACTATCAGTCTCTGAATTCATTAATTTCAAGTAATTTTGTCTTAATAAATAAATCTGTTCATTGATTAATGTCAAGTGCTCTGTGTACATACTTACAATTTAGTGCTATTTTTGTTAAAAGCAGTCACACTCCTATTTGTAGCATTACTCATTACCTCATTTCTGACCTATACAGGATCCTTTTATAGAGGATCCATAAGTTGCCCACAAATACTCCAGTACTGACTTTATTAGTGTGGTAAATAATGTAGAGGAGGTACAATGATCTATAGTACTGCAACTTCAGATACTAGGCCAGTTGGCAACCACCAAAACAAAAGCTGAGACAAGATAACAATACACATTTCTGTAAACCTGACTATTGTTTTCTACAACTTTTCCAACTTAATATCATGTAGCTGCTGCCAGGCTTCTCCTCCTTCAGGTGGTAGAGATGATAACTGTATCAGTATCACTAAAATCTTCCCTTTTTCCCAGCAAATTTTAGTTACATGGTTATTTGATGACTGTAGAGGAATGAAGAATTATAGCATACTGCAAAGATAAAAAGATTTCCCCCATCACACCTAAGTGAGGGCTTATAGTTGGTACCAAATATGAAATTCAGTGTAGCCCTCAATGCTGAGAAAACAGCTCAGTACCCTGGAATGTTCACCTAAAATGTCTCTGAACAGATCCCCAGCAGACTGGGGATTAGCTGTACTGATTACCTGATGAGCACTACTTTCCCTTTTAATAAGTCACATCATTTCTTTTATTGAACCATACTTAAGTGTGATTTTTTTTCTAAAGTCTTTTCCTTCAAAAAAAATGGCAAGGAAAATTTAAGAGACTTCATTTACCCATTACTGACAACAGCAGTGTGACCAAATCTGTTGACATCTCGATGCAGATTAGGTTTTGGTAAAATCTTCCATTCATCACAAGCTGAAAAACAAAACACCAAGCATATATCAAATAATTTGAAAAGTTTTCAGCAAAATACAGGTGAAGTATATTTTAACCACTCAAGGATAAATCAACTGAACTCCTTTTAGATGCATTTGTGAGTAGATGCTTCAAGGACCTGTCAGCAACACTGATCTATCCTAACATTTATCAAGACTACAGGACATTCACAGAAGAGTCACTATTACACATGTAGTTGTCTGCCTTCACAGCCAGTTTCAACACCCATAGGAACAAGCATTGTTGTTATCAAGGGATCAGTAATATTGTCCTCATGTTTACACACTCTCAATTAGCTAAAGGGTTTCATTTTATAAGTATTTCATGGAATATCTATGGCAGTGAACTTAGTTATTTTCTTAAGTGTTTAAACTATCACTCCTCCAGATGTGCAACCCATCTCATTACTGTCTTACTTTTGGTATCTTGATTTAAGTATGCTACTAATTACTTTCCACATACTTGAGAGGAATGCTGAATCAGGATCTCCATGTCAAATTAATTATCCAAGCACATTTCGTTTGGAACTGCTGTACACAAATGTGGTTTCAGTGTGGTTTAATTTTTCTTTCCTGACAAGAGTTTTAGTTCTTTAGAACAATTACTCCTTTCTTCATTATTTCCTATTTAAACTTTACTAACTTCATATATTCAAATCCCACAGTAATAGAAATAGGGAGCACCTACAGATCGAAACTTCAAGGAAAGTACAGGGTTTTAGCACCTTAATTTGGGTAGAGGCATCTCTCAGTAGTCAGATCATAACACCTTGCTCCTCAGCTTAAAAAAACAGAAATGGATAAAACCAGGAGGAATTCAAGCTGGTCTCGTTCCCACTGTCAGAAGACCTCAACTCCGCCAGGGCTGCTGTTCTGGCACTTCTAATGCAGAAAATTATTCACAGCAGAAAATTATTGACAGCAGCACCTTGTGCAGTCAGCATCCTGTTAGCAAAGCACGCTGGAACACCCTGGTGCATGGCCACATGAGGATGGACTCAGCGCCCAGGAGGGGATGGCGTGGCTCAGCTACGGCAGCAACACCCCTAAGTCAACTCAGGCTTCCACCAAATCACAGCCTGAGCCCGTCAAGAAAGCCAGTGTGAGATCATGGCTGTGATAAATAAATAATTGCACCTCTTTATAAATTGGAAACTGAAACTCAAAGCATATTAGTACCGGAGCAATGCAGATGGCTCAAACAGCAATAATTTTGACATCAGGTGGTGGACTCCAAGGAATTAGCAGTGTGAAGGAAGTATAGCAAGTTTCATGCACAGCCTTATGGGAGCAATACATCCCAAAATTCTTGCTTCTTTCTCAACTCCTACCTTCTATCACTACCATTGTTAACATTATATTATCATAACACTATGGAATTATTAATACACTTCATTTTTCACGGTTGTTCTTTTTTTATTTTCTCTACTTAAACAGTAGTGAAAATATGCACAATGCCAGAGAGATATTCCTGAAACAGTTTCAAGCAAAAAACAAGCATTTTAACAATTGACCTGCAAAATCTTACTGTTACACTTTAAAATCAAGTTCTTGCTCTTCTTAAGTCACTTCACATTAACAGACACAGCACTCACGAGCTTCTGCTCCATTGATGGTAAAGGAAACAATTTAGGAAACCCACACTAAATTTCCATCTGATTTTAAAACTCACATTAAATTTTCATCTGATCTTGGGAGTGCTGACAGTAATTTTCTTATCTTTACAAACATATACATTATGAACATAAATATATAGTCTTTCCTGTACCTAGAAATTTATTTTAGAAAAAAGTGGGATTTAACACCAAGGGAAGACCATAAAACCATATTAAAGGCTGATTTTCAGTAGAGGAACCCCTGAGGGCTGGAGATATAATAATTCCTTTCTTACTGATGGTATTTTTCAAACTGGCAGGTCTTTTCAATACAGTACAAGAAAAAAAAGAGGGGGGGAAGCTTATTACAAATAGCCTCCCCTCTTATCTCCTCCTAGACTTCTCAATGACTACTGAACACTGAACAGAGCACTGTACAAGAAAAATACTTTTGCTCAGCTCTCAATTCCTGATATGAGTTTCTCTGTACAGTTGATTAATACAAAATACACTTAGCTAGTCAACTGGTGTTTTTTAGTAAAGAATCAAATAGAATTCATCCCTGCCCATCATCTTCAAACTCCTTTTGAACAACTCCAAGCACTCAAATTTCCAGACTTCACTGTACCATTCCAAGAAAAAAAGACAACTGGCAAATGTAATATGATTTACAACATGATTTATCAATATTACAGTATTCTGAGTGTTGTATACATTAAGTCTAATAATGATGGTAAACTGTGCAGCAAAGAATAAAATGTTTTCCTCCATAAAATGTTATGGCCTCAAGGTCTTTTACTGATAGAAAGTGGAAGATGAGTTGTATCTCTTCTATCTGTAACCAGGTACAGCACATAGCACATGGAAGCACACTCTGCTTTTAATAGAACCACTTACTAAGCAGATGAAGAAACAGTACTATTCATTCCAAACTTATTAGCAGAATTTTTAGCCACTGAAAAGTGCAAGGAGAAATAAAAGATTTTTTTCCTTTCTATTATGAAGGCTTCTGCTTTAAGAATAAGCTGTACCACATTATAACATTAGAAGAAAAAGCTTCACCCTCCTCGCTGGTGTAGATTAAATGGTTACCAGATGATACAGAAGTTACTCTGACAGTGAATGGCCAGTCACACACATTTCTGTGATGAAACACCACAGAAATGCACTGGATTTGAAGCAATCCAGCTGAGAAAATCCCCACTTGAACTTTGCAGAGGGTATTGCTCTCCAGAGCCCTCACTCCAACAGGTCAGGCCTCAGCACATCTCATCTACAACCTACCGGCAACACTGCGTTACTGATATCAGAAAGGATGACCTGGATTTTCACAGGAAAGTTGTCAATGCTGCAACAGCATTACAGTATTCATACACTACGGGAAAGTTTCCCAGTATGATTTTATTATATATTTAAAAAAAAAAAAAAAAAAAAAAAAACCACAACAAACAGAAAACAACGGAATTATTTCTAATCAACCTTGTAGTATCAATAAAATGTGTGAACATAGAATTTGATTTCAAAAATTTAACTAATTAGGCAACCAATGTTCCAAACTTCACCTCCAGGATCACATTTTTATTTTGGCACTGGCAGACTGATTTAGTGACAACCTCTTACTGCATTTGGAGCTTTGTTTTAAGAGAAGGTATATGAAAGGTATATGAAACCACTACTTTATGCTTACATTTATCAAACCATTTCTAAATTTCAAACTACTTAAATAGGTTTGAAATGCCAGTGTATTTATTCTGCTCAATCACACTCTGCAACCATGCAGTGCATCCAATGCCAGCTTATGCTTCTATTTTCTCTTTACATGTTTCTAATAATTACTAAGTTCATTTTTCTTTTGTAAAAATACTAATGCTGGTTCACAACATATGGACACCATTATATCTCTGTCTGGTTCTCATTTATGACTCTGGATGACTAAACACTGAACATAAACAGCTAAAACATCATGAAAGTTATGTACTGGCAGAAAACTTATTTTCTGAGTCTTTCCACACTTCATAAATATTTTTTTTTTAATCAGATAATAAAAATCTCCTTACTCTCAGGAAAACACAATAGCAAGTATGTTCGAAACAGCATGAATCGAATTTAAACTCTAGAACTAACATCTACAAGAGAGTCTACAGACATAACAGTGACTCCCCAAGCAGTAAAAAGAAATCAACAGCCTCACTCTCTGCTATTAAAGGGAGCAATTAGTGCATTATATTATTATGGCTTTGCTCTTCTAATAGCACAGCAATATGGAGGTAATTGCTCTTACAGACTGCACCAAAACTGCATTTATAACTTAAGTGCTTAGGAACACATAAAACTTAATCTTTCACAGGCACTGATTTACATTTTCTTTGTGATGGCACACTGATACCCATTTGTTACTCCAGAAACAGGGAGAACTGCAAAAATACACGTGTTCATATTGGGGAAAAAAAAATCTCAGATATCTAAACTACTTCATTTTGTTAATGGCAAAGACTAGAGGTGAAACAATTTACAAGCAAACAATTTATGAATAAACAATTCATTTTTATTACAAAATACAAGCAATATGTTTGATTACAAGTGGAACTAAAGTCAATCTCATGAAATAACTTGGAATTTTTTTTCAAAATAGGAGAATGTTTCTAAGTTTTGTTTGAATACTCTGGAAGAAACTTAATACTTCACATGCAATATTGTCTTTCATAAGCGATTGAATTTGTATACTATTTAATCCATAACAATAAATTTAAATCCAGATAGTAACAAAGAAATATTATGGAGTATATTATTAGTGTAAACATATGGGTTACTGCACTTCTCCCACAGATCCAAACAACACAGAACTCCAACCACCACTAAGAGAAAGCACAGAAACAGTTGCCATGTTCCCAGGATTTCACATTTTGGCTTTTACAGAGATTCCCTGACCATAATTCTCTGTCTATATCAAGGGTACCCAGACACCTTAGCAACTGTCGAATTTGGAACAAAAGGACTGAGACTGAATACTTCATAAACTCAAACTTAAGGAACTTAGGCATGCAGAGGTATATTTACTAACTGCACCATTTTGGCCAGAAACTAAAATAAATATCCTTAGTCTTTTTAAAAAGCTTTTATTTAATTGTATTTTAATACTTCTATCAGTACTTAGAATCTGTTTTAAACTCTGATTCTGTGTGTCTAACAATCTATTTTTATCTGCAAAGTTTGCATGTGAATACTCATAAAATATAATCTAAATTACTTCTCTAAGATGTGATTGGAAGAGAAATGTAAGTTTTAAGCATATTGGGGCCCTTGTAAAGAAAGCCATAAACAAAATCATTCAGAAAACTGCAGGTCAACCCCAGCATTCAAGATTGTCCCCATTGCCAAGCTTCCTCTTTCAGATTAATGAAGCAATAACAGCACAGTTGGAAAATACCTGACCTTTACAAGAATGACCCTCTGTGGATCTCTAAGGGGCTTCCAGAGCAACCCAGGGGCAGCCTGCTGGTAAAAAATCAAAGCAGAACAGAAGTATACCAAGGCCAGATTTCTACAGCTCTTTTTCTTAATGCAGCAGTCTTCTCATTGTGTATTTACTGCTATATAAGGGAATATATCAAGCAACATTAAACTATGAAAATTACGGCACCATAGCAGTTTTTATAACATCTCCCCATCTCTGTGTCTTCACCTTTAACAAATACACAGTAAGTACTTCAAATTACTGAACTGAGCTCTTGACTCATGACACATTTAAATGTCTAAAACTTGTTACAGAATAAGCTCAGAACTTAGAGAGCAATGACTGACTCAGAAAAGCAGAGGGGGAAAAGGTAACTCTGTCCTAAGCTTGGTAAAATGAATTGCTCTCTGGAGATACTTCTCTCTGTGCCTGGACTAGAGGAGGAGTGTGGATTACCACACTGCATTAGAAACCAACCTTTCAGAAGGCTGAGCCTGGCTGAGATGAAGCCACACAAACAGTTATTCCACATTAATATGAAAAGCAGAGTTTTCATGGGTAATAAAAAGCCAAAGCAATCTATCCAGAGGACTATGTCACATAGAATAAGAGAGATAATCAAAAGTACTCTCTAGCCCAACTTGAACATAAATAGCATAGGCTCTATCTCCAGGATTCAGCTGGTTTCCAGACAGCACCCATTTTTTACAAGACAAGGCTAACACTCCATCACTTGCAAGATATCTAGGAAATGTGATGCTGATAGCATCGTATATTTTTTTCTTCCAAGCATTGTTCAAAAACTCATGATACAAAGTAAATAAGATTCTGAAATATACCTATTGCATAATTATTTAATTATTCATAAAATATTTCAAGTTTTCTGAAAAATATGACTTTATCAAATGTGTGCTGTAATATTTGTTTCTAAGTTGGTAAAATTAATATTACAGAAGAATAAGTCTGAATCAAATCAATCTTCATATAGTCCATTTTTAAGATTAATTACTACATCCAAACAGTGATTACTACATCCACTTCTTTTATACTTCATCAGTATCATAATACATGGAGAATGTGACTTGCAAGAGAATACAAATACCAAATTAAATATAACCAGCTAGACAAACCAAAATATTGTTCTACTTAAGAAAAAAATACTATAAAGCATTGTCATGAAAGATGATATAAAACTATCAGTATGTGAAAATCATAAAGTTACATTAATTCAGCTCTTATGACTCACACTATTGATCTGTAAGAGCACATTTACAAATAAATGTAGACCAATAAATAATACTATGCTCCAAAATGAGAAAGGAGCCCTGTTTCATTAAAAATTAAATCCACATGTAAACTGAAGTGAGAACAAAATCAATAGCTCACACCATCAGATGCCTATAAGAAGCAGTGGAATATGCAATAGAGGGTTACAGTAAAAAAAAACCCAGCTGTTTTTGTTTATTTTATTTTCAGCTAAGGTATTATTTGCACACATATTAAAACTAGCAGGAAATAACCTATATATATTCCATGTACTGAAATTAGTCATTATTTTTCTATTAAAGCAAAGACATTGCATTGATATCTACAGTGAATGCCACAAAGAGCCATTAACTAGTCCTGAAAGAAGGATCATGTCTCAGCCTCATCCACCACTGTAGGCAGCTGATAAATGCTTGCCAAAAGTAGATCCAGGCAATATCCACAGGCTATTCTCACCAGGAGCATGCATGAGTTCATTTCCCAGGATGCTCTGATACATTTCCCTTTTTTTGGCTCCCAGGACAAGAGATTGTGCTTTTTGGCCCCAATGTGTGCTCTATGATTATATTTAAAGTCCAAATACAAATTATATGTTTATATTTAAAGCCTATGCAGAAAATATGGACATGAACATCAGGAAAGGGAAAAGCTATTTATGGTAAGAACAGCAGTGGCACAAGATAGGAAAAAGAGTATGGATTCATTAAATTCTCTTCTATTTATAGCCTCCACAATCCTATAGGGAGGCTTTTCTATAAGTGCACAGCTCAAAGGGTTGGAACCAATCACCAGAATGAAAGCTGACACCCACCTAGTCTTGTCTTATCACACAGTTTTCCTCCCAACTGCATTCTTATCATATATTTACAAACAACAATTTGTTTTGCTCTCAGCCACACTCTTGTAAAATTATATATACCACATCCTTTTATCAGCTCCTAAAGGCTCCTCATGTTTCACTCAGCCCTAATACCACTTGCCATGTAGAGCCTTTTTTTCAATTTGTCTTCTTTAAAAGTGTGTTGCCAAAATACTACAAAAATATCCAGGGCCTTGAGAATGTCATGGATGCTGCTACGCCTTGCCCCACAAACCAAAAGCTTTAGACAAAATGGAAAAAAAAAAATCTGTAAAATCTATAAATAACTTGAAGGTGTTTGGGATCAAAACTATAAAGAAACACATTAGCTGGACTTGAGAAAGCAAAATTGTGGTATGTAAAACCAAAATGAAAAAAAACCAGTACAATACATACCTATATCATATGAAAGAAAGTCAGCAGAAAAACACTTTGCACCATTGCTCAGGGAAGTATCATTATGAGTGTTTCCACCAAAAATGAGCATAGCTCCATTGATTAAGACAGCTGAATGAAGGTATCTTGCAAAGCCACTCTCTTTCAAAATAGTCCTACAAAACATAAGAGCAAATACATAGTAACACATGAGAAACTGGATATGGGCATCAAGAAAATTTGTACACGGAAGCAACACAAAACAAGAAAAATAGTAAACTATAGCTCAGTAAATACAATGTCATTTAATCAGATTGTTTTCTCATAGTACAAAAATATATATTTGTTTAAAATATCACACTTTTAGTTAAAATAAAACCGTTTGCCAAATAATATAGCTGAAATTAATTTTAACACGTTTGCATTCTTCAGAAATTATTACTGATATGGTAAATTTTACTCAAAACTGAATGAAAACTCATTCATAGCATTAATTCCTGTTCTTATATATCCTTAGCCATCTTGCTCAAGAAATCAAGAAAGGCAAAAAAAAAATTCTTCAGAAGGCTACAGTAATCTTTACACCATCCTTAAAATTGCAAAATTAAATTATTTTTTTTTCCGAATTAATTGAACACTCAGACCCAACAAAGCAATAGTAAAAGGCATTCTAGGTACATTAAAAACACTTGTACTGCTTCAGAAACTTATTCAGACTGGTAAACTCAAACATAGCAAACTTCAGTGCTAAAAAATACAACTGTCCAGGCAATTGGGGCTTTGATCTCTGTCTTTATTCACTTCAGCCTCTGTGTGTGTGGTCTGCTTTGTGCCAGAGCAATGGCACAGCCCCGACAGTAGCCAAGAGCTATCAAAGCCACAGTTTGAAAGGGGCAGATGTGGGGCCAGTGGAAAGAACAGAATACAAACTTGATTCAATCCCAGCAAATAAATCTTACCAAGGAAGAGAGTAACCATCTGTGGTTTTGCCAGATGAATTAGTTAAGCTAAGACCAGCTGTAGACATGTTTGTGAAGAGCTGATTAGATCATCAGTACAAAATACCTCTAATAACCTTTCATTGTTTCAGTAATCTAAGTTTACAAGCTTAGACTCTCATTTTCATTTACGTTACTACACACTGCTCAAATCTACAATTAAACTGTTAGTCATTCGTTTCCTGTAAGAAACTGACTCAACAATCTTTCCTTATGATTGAATAATACTGTCTCCCTTGAACCACTCTCATAATAGTTCAGTATTTTTACATCATCATCATCATCATGTTTGACAAAGGTACATCTCATTTTTCTTACATAATAACATAAATCAATCAACAAACTTGAAATATTTTAAGTGATAAAAGATTGCATGTTTAAACGAGTTGAAAGGAAAGCATCAAACCTGAATTCTCATATTATTATTGAAACAAATTCCCCCCAGCCCTGGAAAGTAACATCAAAAGAAATACCAAAGACTAAATTAAAATAAATGAGCTTTTTTATTGCTTAAAAATGTGACAATTCCTTCAATCCACTTACATACTCATGCATGTGCTTCTGCTTTTGACCCCTTTTTTTTTTTTTCTTTCCTATTAAATGACTTGCTTTCCTCTTGTGTATTTCTGATTAACACACTTTGAAAACAGAGGACCACATAAGTGTGTTCTTCTAATCACGAACCGGCTTGATACAGGATACTTAAAGTACCCCCAGAAAAATGTGGTATTTGGGTTCAACTCATCAGTTAGCAACACAGAAAATCAGAATTACATGGAAGTAGAGCAAGACACTATTTTTAAGTTGTTTTCAACTGGCAATGGAGGAATTCTGCTGCTATGACTTGAAAGAATGATAATATCCTAAGAACATGTTATCTTTGTCCATTTGGACTACAGAGACCTTTCTGTCTTTTGCTTCTCCAGTTTTCTACAGCCCCTATTGCCTAATTTACACTAATTGCTATACACTAGGCTCTGCCTTGATGATCTGCCTCGCAGCTGTCTACAAATAGTTGTGTTGATCACTAAAGGCCTGAAGAGACATACACAGTTCTGGGGATAACTAAGGATTCTCCTCTACATAGTGGATATGAAAAAAATCTCTAAAGGTTTCTTTTTTGGGCTATTCACTTTTCTACTTGTGACTCAACTGCGTTGCCCCACTCCTGGTCCCTACCACAGTGTGGGGATTTTTTTCCAGTAGTTTTTACATATTGTGTGCTGAGTTTCATCCCTGCCAGTAACAGCAACTTTTCCTCAAGATTCAGCAGAACTGGAAGTTTGTTAATTTGGCCATGATTTTCACTATTCATTTGCATCACTAATGAGGGCAATCTAGAGAACTCTCCAGCACATATCAACCCCATGCAAATTCGTGAGAGTCTCAGCAGGTTTCCCCTGAATCCATTATTTATGCACATATTCGTGTATCTGCAAACATTACCCCGTGTTAGCTGCCAGTGCCAAGTGCTGCAGGCAGCAGCACCACTCTGGAATGGCAACAGAAACACCCAGAAGCCAGCAAGCCAGCAGGTGTTTCCACTGCTTCAGGCCATTACCCAAGCCCAGCTCCACGTTGTGCCCCAGCTGCAGCACAGGGCAGTAATGCAAAGCAATGCAGGTAATGCCAGCACTGTAATACCCCATTGTGTATTAGGAATACAGCTCACACTAGGAATTAAAATATTGCCCTCTCATATTCCAAGAAACATAAAGCTTGTTTAATTGATATCAAGAAATTAAAACCTACGTGGAATTGAGTTGAGCAGGTAATCAGATTTGTATACCTCAGCTTACCGAAGCCTATGAACCTCTGCCAGATCAGCCACAGAAACGGAATAAGTGCCAGAGACAAACAGTGAGGACCAGCAAATGGGCATGAGAGAGCCATCAAAATTCCAACTCTTCCTCATACCATACCTATCCAGTGCCACATTCAGTCTCTCACCTCACCAAGTGCTTTGAATGCTAATCATAAGGCACCACAAATGCAGTAAACAAAGATTCAGATTTTATTACTACAAGTCTTTACTCCATCTTCTGAGCCCATTTTCAGTGCCATAGTAAAATTCACTCTCAGTGTAAATCTCACAAAACAGACTTGAGTTCCCTACAAGCTGCAGAGAATGCTTATACATTAGTATAGAGTCAAATGAAGTATTCTTTATTAATTTTTATATGAATAATGCATAAAAATATTCCAGCAATTATTATTATTATTTTATTGTCAGACAGACCATCAAAGGAAAAAATATCACTTTGTTCCAAAAATAGAATACGAAAGCATTAAAATTCCAGGAACTTATAAATACATTAAGAGGAAAAAAAATTCTTGTATTAATATTTTCAAATGCCATGAGTTAATGGTATTAAGAACCTCAGTGAGATGAAACCCATGTATCCAACATCTGAGAGCAAGTTTTGGGTGCTTAAAGTGAAGCCATTAGAACTCTAAACAAATATTAAACCACAGGAATAAAATGTTCAAATACTTCTTGATCTCAAGTCATCTCTAAGTAAGAAAAAATATTCAAGGTCACTTTCTGTACATAACACACAAGTAGCATTCATAAATTACAATAAACTTGAGGAACAAGGAACTGATAGAAATAAAAACACCAAGAGCATTCATAACTAAGGATTTCTACATAATACCAAAGGTCTTCTCTCTTATTTCTGATAGTTTTGTGAAAAATAATCTTCCACAGTTCTTAGGGTTTTCTCCCTCTTTAACTAACAGCCACTGTAATGTACACCAGCAGTATAGTCACACCATGAGGAAACAGTTCATATGTGCTATTTCTGCACAGTGGTTGTAACTGGAAAGGAGAACCTTTTCCTAATTTGTAGAACATGCACAAAGCTTCCTCACTGCTATCCTTTCAATGAATAGCTCCACTAATCCATTGACTCTAGTCCCTCACCACAATTCTTCCATTTTGTTGCAGAGAATGTGTTGCTCTGAAATGTGCAAAGGATGTAGAGGTACCTGCTTGACTTTGCTAGAACCTTACTCTACACTTCTGTTTTCTTCAGTAACTTACAACTTGGTTTCCTACATTATAAATCAAACTTACCATGTCCGAGTATTAACTTCATATCTGTAAAGATCATCCACCAGTCCATATTTATTGCCAGGCAATGCTTTGTATCCACCATGGACATAAATAGATTTTGTCAGTTCATCGTAGACACTGGTATGGCCATATCCACCTTGAACAATTGCTCCTTTCGTTTCTGGTACGAGCCAGGAGTTAGACCCTTGAAGAGACATTTTAAAAAGCATAATTTAAAGGCTTACTACTGCTAAATCACAATACTAGGAGTTTTAAGGATAGAAAATAATTTCCAATATAATTCTAAATATAGAAATAACTATTGGGATTTATTTTAAGAAGTAGTTTTATACCAATGTATAAAAATATCTGCAATCAGATAATGTTGTCAGACTATTACCTGCTATTTTAATGAAATCAAAAATACATCATTGTTACAGCTGCCAGGCAGTATCTCATCCTCTCCCACATGTGACTTCAGCACTCACACAAACAAACAAAGAGCCCAAAGCTTTTTGAAAATATGAAATTAGGAGTTATGATTAATTCTCACCAGAGATGGCTGATGAGAATTCAGTGCTCCAGCTCCTTCAGATTCATTAGGAACACCTGTGCTCAGTCACAGGGAGTCTGAGGAGCTGGCAGAGACTGAGCTGCAGTGAGTCGTGAGAAGCACATAACATAAGGCAGCTCCATTGTGCATGGATATGGACAGACACTTTGGGAGTAACTGTAAAATTATCGAGCTAAAATCCATTTCCAACCACTGTTTCTTAGTTCTTTAACTGCAAATATACCCATTCAGTTGCAGAAGACTCACAAAAAGAATAATTTGATAGCAGCTCATTCAATTGGCATTTAAATCCATGTTTTACATCACATGATTAATAACTGCAAAGAGACACCAAATACAACTAGACACAATAGCTGTTATAATTGAAGAAGAGAATACAACTGGAAAATATTTTACCACAGAAAAAAAAAAAGACACCTGTTAAGTTCCTGCACCCTGTAGCCCCAAAATGTCTTCTTTCCCCGCTCCATCTTCCCAGATGATGATATAAGTCACAAAAAAAGCAAGCCAGGAGGTATTCCCTGCACTAGGCAGCCTATAGAGAAGGGTCTGTGATGATTGGGAGTCAGTGCTACAGACGTGAAACAGAAATAATTAACTTCCAGACTCGTGGAGATTGTCAGAACAGAGAGCCTGGACAAGGACATCCAAAGTGGAGCAGTCTCCCAACTCTTAACCTCAACTGGCTACCATTAAAAAGTTATTTATCCAAGGCTAGCACACACCACCATACACCTTGCTTCCTCTGAAAGTTAGGCTAAATCCCATTCTAATTTTTTATCTGATATTATGTAGGTAGCTTAGATTAACTCTTTTTTCCTCTAGATTCTCACAAAGAGGTTCATGATTTTCAGTTATTAGTTTTGCTAACATACTTTCCTTACATAGTTTCCAGGCATTGCTTCTGTAAGTTACATTTTTTTCAGTTACAAGTGCTTATGGCAAGTTATAAAGTATAGATTCTGAGGTAGAATTGTGATGATTTTTGTGTGTATTGTGGTATTTGTGGTAACACACTATTTATAACTGACACAGAATATTTACATTATTCATATGTAGTGTAATGTAAGCAATATTTTATTTCAATCCCCATGTTGGATATTATCAAGCTATGAAGAAGTGCAATTCTGAACACAAATATCAAATTTGTACTGATAATACTGTACATTACATACATATTACTTTGATAACTAATAGATTTACTTGATACAATTTCTGTAAGAGGGCTGGTGAGGAGTCAGCCTGCAGATACACATTTCTATTACCAAAAATATCTTCATTTATTTATTTAATGATCAGTCCTAGAGATAGGCATATATGCTTTTCAGGGAAAAAGAACTATTTCTCCCCATAAATTGGCACAATGCTGTTGATAATAGAATGTATAATAGAATATTTTGCATTTCTATCTGACTGGTTCATGTAGCATTTATGGAGCATTATGGTTTATGTAGCAATGTTGTATTTGACGATTCTGAGGTCTTTTCCAGCCTAAATGTGTTCATGATTCTGTGTAGCATTTAGAACACTGTCACAGTAACAGTGCATATTGCATCACTTTACATGACTTGGGCAGAAATATGAAAACCTCTTCCTTATTGAATAAAAAAAAAAGTGCTGTGAATAACTACAGAAATTCAAGGAAAGAGGTCCAGCAACATCTTTCTGAAATAAAAGCAAAAAGCAGTGTTATGTTGCTCCTTCTACTTCCCATTCTAAAAATGAGCTGAGTTGCCTGAATTTCAAATACTGAAATGTGTACATACAGTCTTGATATCATTCATGCTTCAGTATTGTATCATTCATACAAAAATACAATAATCCTATACAAGTCTATATTTAAAGACATTACTATGCATATGATCTGACTTTTTGAAGCAGCTTATTGATATGAATATTCACCCACCTTTTCTTCAAAAAAATTCAATTTTTATTGAAGGTGTTTACATAACCCTTCTCGTACTCAGACATCCCTCTCTTTCTGTCATTATAGCAATTGAAGCAGCTTATTGAAATGAATATTCCCCTACCTTTTCTTAAAAAAAAATTCAATTTTTATTGAAGGTGTTTACATAACCCTTCACGTACTCAGATATCCCCCTCTTTCTATCATTATAGCATAATGATATAAGAATATAGAACTATATATAAGAATATATAGAACATACATAGAATATATATATCTATATATAAAGAATATATATAGAATATAGAACTATGTATAAGAATAAGAAGTACTTGACTGACCAAACTAGTCATTGAAACTGCATTCTCAACAGCTTAAAAAGTCAAATGCAGAGGGAACTTCATGAACAAACATGTCAGAAATATGGAAATAGGAGGTTTTTTAATTTTTTTTCCAGATTTAAATTTCAAGTCTAGCACACAATGTAAAAATAAGGAAGATATGTGGGTCCAACCTGTCCTTATCATAATACAACCTCCAGACAGATCAGGTAAAAAGAGCAAAATGTCCAAGAAGCATCTTAGTGTGCCACATCCATTTTATCACAGTGAAAAACTTGAAAATTTTACAAGCAACCAGGAAGCTTATGTTAACTTTGACAAAAAAGAGAAGGCATTTTACATCATGGGGCCACTTTTTTTTTAACATTATTTCAAATAAATACTTTTAATCAAAAGCAATCTATAACCTACTTCTAAAGCCATTAAAAATCAGCCTAAAATACTGTGATATTATGTTAATCCAAAGAAATCTGTCTTCTAAAAGAAATAAAATAAAACCAAAGAAGACTTATTCAGAAGTTTCTTAATATATAAGGAGCCTTTATAAACCTCAGCTAAAACAAAACAGCATTATTGTATTCACCTTGAGACTCACATTGAGATTCTTTGAAGGTTTATGAGGTATTGCTAACCTAAAGGGAAATAAATTTCCCTGGGGAGTAACCCAGAAAAGCTTTATGGTTCAAGTTAGTAAAATCATTCACATAATTCCCATATCAGGATTTACTGGCTCCTCAGAAGTCGTAAGTCTGGGTGCAGCAAGAAAGGACAACAGGAAGCTCTTTTCTTCCTGCAGCAACCACCATACCTTTGGAGTGGAAATAAATTCACGTGCCTTTGCATGGTGAAAATCTTCCTGCAAACCCTGTCCAATTATTCCAGGATTTATTTTACTCTCATAGAAATTACTTTCTCCCCTAATCCGACAGTGCCAGAGACATTTTGAGATGGGCTACACCTTTGATTGGCATGTTTTATTACCAACAACTACATACCTACATGAAAAGCTACAAATTTCCACAATTATTTAAAACCTCTTCAGGTTTTCTTAACCCAGACCTCACGGAATTCATGGTCACAGCAACTAAATAAGGCTTTAGCACCAGAAATCCATGTTCCAAGTTCATAAAACACTGGATCCTAAAGGTTTCAGTACATATGAACCAAAGGACAAACTTCCTCTATGTCTCTTTCTTTCAATAGGTACATGGTAAATGCTTATAAAAGCCTTCATTAGGACTAAAAGCCATAACAGATAACATGTAGAAACAATAACAGTACAATTTGAAGTGTTACAGTAATATGCTTTAAAAGCAAGCAGAGAAAGAATAAATCAGGTTCTTATTTTTCTTTCTATCAGAAGCCCTTATTTTTATGAAATTCCTTTCTTATTCAGGTGAATTCACAGGAATACTTCTCATTTCCTATGTCCTTTAAGTTTGGATCCTGAACTGCTAAAGTCCTCCCAAAAAACCCAGCAATTCCTAACTCAAACCACCAGCTGGAATGTTATGGTTAAAAATATGTTCCTACAGCTGCAAAACTGTAGATAAATGTCACGGCCAACACAGAATTCAGGAAAATTTACCACAAAATTCACTTAACTTCGAGGGGAGTGAAAGGAGGGAGATGCAGTGAGGTGAAATGGAACATGAGAATTCTCTGTGGCAGCAATGGTTCAGGTACCCCATGTCCTGTACAGCGCTGGGAGCCCCACCAATGAATTCTTCATCAGATGAAGAATCCCACTGAAGGCAATGGGTTTCCACAGTAATACCATAGACTGTTACAAGTTTCCTTTGTGTTTGATGCAAGTGAAGCACATTTTCTCTAACAAACTAAATCTCTCACTAGAATACAACAAAAATATACTCTCAAAAAGGAGACATTAAAAACTGAGAATAATTGACACACATTTGACAGAGAACTGCTTTCTCTTACTCCAAGCTTATCCCCATGGTAGGGAAGGTTTGAGGTTTTTTCTTTGTTTCTGTGTGCTATATATGCTTAACAACACTGTTTTATTAATCCTCCACAAACATAGCTGAAATAAAAGCCAAAAGCAGTGTTATGTTGCTCCTTCTAACTCTTAAAAAAAAAATAGGAACAAGCTGTCCATTTCAACCATAAGGCCATCAATAAAATCAGCCAGGCAGAAAATTTTACAATACAAATCTTGTTCCCTTCTTCCCAATTAAAGTAACAACAATAATAGGTGAGAATAAAATTGGTACTTCTAGTCCATATTAAATTAGCAGCATGTGAAGAAGCTAATAACTTAAAGTTTCAACAGAAGAAGCAAATAATTTAAAGTTTTCCAATAAACATTACAGTCAATGAGCATGCAGAAAGCTAGAACATACTATTTCCTTCACACAAAAAAAAAACCCCATCTCCGATAGGTCAAAAAACCAACTTTCTGAAAGTCAGTTTTTCTAAAAAATGGCCTTTAATTCTTAACAAATATTAGAATACTGTTGTAAAACATCATTTTAAGACCAGAGTTTCATGGTAGCTTTTATGCAGTAAAATTGGAATTTTTCAGCGTGAATAAAGAACATTATGGTGCTCTTCCTCTTACTGCCATTCACTTTTATCCTTTTTCAACACTGTTATATAATTTTGACACTGCCATCACAGATAATGCCAGAGAGCATAAGAACCATCACAGTTTCGAAGGGATTTCCTGAACCTATAAATCTGTTTAAACAGTGATTATATAAATATGCATACATGAAAAAAAGAAAAAAGTTAAATGGAAGAATTAAAAACAATTACCATCCCTTAGCATGTAGGTATTACTTTGAAATTTTGTATTATGCCTTCTGCAATTGCATAAATAACTGAGAGACTCAGATAAACACAACATAAAAAAAGGAATTAAACAAAAGTAGAAGACTATAAATTCAATTAGTAGGCATATAAATATACCTAAGAATTTATCAGGTGTAGATTTTCAATATTATTCTGTTGAAATGGTATCTTAACTGTATCATGTGTATGATAAAAAGATTTATCTTAGTTTATTTAATTTTAGCATTAAAAACCACTCCAGGAACAGCTTGCAGTTCACAAGGGGAAAACCAGACAGATATGGTAGCTTATTTAAAGAAAATTAGAGTTCATTTTCAATTATTATCTGTAACAGCAACATATATATCTTTAAGAGAGAACCCTACATATAATGATGAACTAAGTTATTACATTTAAAAACAATACAACAGAAGGAAAATAATATACCAGCATTAAAGAACCTTTAAAGTAACTAAATTATTGTTGGTTTTGCTGTTCTGTGTGGTAAAAACAGCAAGTCTGTGTTGAAAAACTATGTTTCATCACAATTACCACAGTGAAGAATTTCTGGTTTCAATTTTTATCCTCTTTAGGGTACCACAACCACACACAAAAATGGAAAATGTCATGGTGTTCCAAACACACATGACACACTATTATTTGACAAGAAATCTTATGTACATAACCTGAAGGAGAAAAGGTGAGGCTTTATTTAAATTGGAAAATACACATTTTTCTTTCTCAAAAGAGAAAAATCACTTTTTTCACTTTAAAAAAAACCAGCACTTTTTGTATCAATTTGTAATCAAAATGATTTGAAAGTGACTTACTGATGTAGTATTCTTGCACAATGCTTGTGTAACCATATATGGAAGAATATCCAAAAATTACAATCATAACCACATCTCTGCTGTCCAGCTCTACTATGTGTGCTGAATGACCTTCCACAGCGTATTGCTGTCCATGGACAAGGACTGCAGGAATTTTGGTACTCCATGTTTGACTGGGTATGTTGAAAACCCACAGCTCATCAGTGACATTGCCAGAACTCGTTTCAATTTTGCCTCCATACATGTAGATGTCTTCCTGTAAAAATGGGAATGGAGAGAGGAGAAAGCAAATAATGGATTACAGGAAGATAACATCTGAACTGCATACTCCTCTGCTGAGCAGTATTTCATAACTGAGCAATCTGATTTAAATCTTCACATTTAATCTTACATTAACCAGCTCAATATCAGACACTAATCCCAGACAATGATACTTAAACTAAACCAACAATGATAAGGAGTCTATTTCTATGAAAAATAAACCTAGCCATGATAATGACACCAAAATGAATCTCAAAGAGATTATTTCATCCAGAAAACCTGTAATTACATGGCACTTCTAATCTATATGGCAGCATTCTATTTTAAAAAAGCTAAACAGAAAGGATATTATATTGTTTTCTTAAGGACCAGTTCACAGAATTAAAATGTGATTTTCCACACACGCTGTCTAGGGAGATTTCACTCACCACATGCACAAGAGAGCACATTCTCTCCTACTAGCAATGTAATTTAAGTTCTGAGAAAATCCAGTCATCAAAAGCCAAAGAAAAGGGAAAATGCATGCATGGAATCATAGAAGGGTTGGAAGATGCCTTAAAGATCATCTTCTCCCACCCCCACCACCACGGGCAGGCACACCTTCCACTATCCCAGGTTGTCCAACCTCATGTTGGACACTTCCAGGGATGGGGCAGCCACAGCTTCTCTGGACAGCCTGTGCAAGGGCCCCACCACCCTCATGCTGAAGAACTACCAGTACCTAAACCAAACCAAAACCTAAATCAAACCTGCCCTCACACAGTTTGAAGCCATCTCCCCTCATCCTGCCACTCCATGCCCTTGGAGTGGCATCACTCTCCACCGCTCTTAGTTCCTTTAAGGTGCTATAAGGTGTCACCAGAGCCTTCTCTTGTCCAGGCTGAACAACCCCAACTCCTCCAGCCTGTCCTCCTGGAGAGGTGCTTCAGACATCCTCAGTGGCCCCTCCTCAGGACTTGCTCCAACAGTGCTTCTTATGCTGGGTGTCCCAGAGCTGGACACAAGGCTCCATGAGAGCAGAGCAGAGGGACAGAATCACCTCCCTCAGCCTGCTGGTTGTGCTGCTTTTGATGCAGCCCAGGATGAGGCTGGCTCCTCCCGAGCACATTTACTAAAATCAAATCCCATAGGGGAGTACTTTGAGTTCTTTTTAAGGAATGCAAAACAGATTCCAGCCATCATGAACCACACACCTTAAACAGCAGGGCCATCTGTTCTGGTAAGTAATGAGTGATTTACTTAAATATTGCCTGAAAGCAAATCCTACTGAATTTCACTTCATCTTGAGTTGTAAACCAAGGTATGCAAAGTCACAGAACAAATTCCAGATTTTTGGCTTCACAAACATGCTCAAGGACAGTTTATACTGGGCGGAAAAAACTTCCTTTGGTTCTGAGATTGATACTCAGTCTTTGCTAGGACATAACCACGCCATAACCACCCCCTCTGCATGTTGGCAGGTTGGCAGCTGTCTTCTGCATTAGGCTCACCCTAAACTCAGCCTTATCAGGTTTAAATTAGAAGGGAAAAAAAAAAAATAAATAAGCTGCAGGTTTAGCACATTTGGCAAAGTTTGACTTGGCATGAAATACTCAGAAAAAGAGGCTGGATGACTAGTCAAACTGGTCTTTTAAAGACCAAACTGTCTGATGCACTTACACTTGAAACTTCTGCAAAATTTTCAACTATTTTTTTTCCTTTGAGGTGAACATTTCTCTATTTGGAATTTAAATCTTTCCTATGGAAGGATGCTCTGTGCTACTGGTGGTGTTTGAACAAAAGATGTTCACAGAAGGAATTTGTGGTAGGATTAGAGAGATATGTATCTGAACCCATTCTTTTCCTAGGAGATAAAACATTTCAAGGAGCTTGGTAAAGACCCACAAAAACTGAAGAAGGATGTGCACTGATCCAAAAGAATGGTTTGAACAAATATTCTTCTTGAAAAGATCCTATATGGCTCATTCCTTACAATACCACATAGATCTCCAAAGTCAAATCAGCATCACTAAAATTGTGAACTACTTATTTTCAAATGCTGATAACGGGCTATAGCATAAAGAGAAAGCTAATTAGGGAGATGCAGGGGCTGCACAACAGTATTTGAAAAAAAATATTTCTGACACTGAGAAAAGACACTTTAAAAAAAAATAAAAAGGTGACATAAAGAGCTGCATGAACTTTGAAATTATTTCTCAGACAGCTGACAATAGCAAAGTCCTCCTTACAGTTCTGCTTAAATGATTCAAAGTTCAGATAAAAGAACACTTTTGTGAGGAGCAATCTTTTAGGTGACACAGCAGATCCTGTATACAAGAATATTCACAGAGAAAAGACAAGAAGGTCATGACAACTGCTTTATCAGCCACAAAACCAGATTTAACTAAGCTTTGCTAAGGGCTATTTCTGAGATTAAGAAGCTCCTAGCACTGGTGAAAAACGCTTTAAAATAAGTGATGATCAGCTGAACAGAGAGAAAAACAAGCTGAGAGACCAAAGTCTATGGAAGAAATACAGAAGTGAAATTAAAAACTGTTACATGCGTACCTATATGTGGCAAAAAACCAACCTCCTAAGCACATGAAGATAGACATTTATTTGGAAAGCCTTAACAGGAATTGATTGTAGGAATGATAAGAGTGCAAGTGGTCCTATGTAGCATAAAAATTGTGACAGAATAGAAGGAACCCCTTTATAAATGTTATACTACCTTTATCAATTACTTATATACTAAATATAAGTCAAGGTATATGCTAAAGGTGAGGCTTTCTGGAAGACACAACACATAAGATACAGAGTTTAAAGTATGCTAGTGCACAAACACTGCTGACCTTTACCTGAATTAAGCATAGTAGATATTTGTTTATAAGATATCACACCAAGCAGGACTGCAAAGTAAAATAATATATTTTTTAAAGGCAACAAAAAATATAAAATTGAGAGTCTTTGCGAAATTAGTGCAAAAAAGTGTGAAAAATCTGGCCCAAATTAAGGATCTTAAAAACTGTCCTCAGTCTAGAGGAAAGAGCATATTTTTCCATGGAAGAGATAAAAAAACCCAGGTAGATAAGCACCAAAAAGATAGAAGGCACATTCATATTTTAAAGTTCTGATACCAGGTATCAAAACAAACACCTTCAATTACAGTATGAGATAGAAAAGTTGAGCATTTACTCAGTAAATTAACATTGACCATATTAGATATATTTTATCATATGAGTAACATTCTCTGAGAATTTCCAGAAACCTTGAAAGACCTTGTGGTTTTTAAACCAAAATTTCATATAACTATTGCTTTATGCAAATTGAAGTATAGAAAAGTACATTGTTTATTGAACTTCAGAGCTCCTGCTCAGTAGGGAATTACAGGAAAAACGAGAAATTTCTTCCTGTAAACAGAGCAGGTCGACAGCTCACTCAATCATGACATTCCCACCTACAGATCCCATCAGTTGGTTTCTTGGCAGGTGTTCAGGTTCAAGCCAACAAAACAGCCAGTGCAGCTCCTGTTTGCTTCAATGGAACCAAAACTTTCCAATAAATGTTTCCATTTTCTCAAATCGCTTTTTTTCCCTGAGAAAATTACTTCAATGGAAAATTTTGATGAACCATAATGATAAAAAAGATGAAAAAAGGCATATGATCTGTAAATAGTTGAGTGTGCATATTGGACAGAGAAGATGACAGCAGAAGGCAGGAATGATAAGACCAAACCAGGATTTGAACAAAATGGTTAAATCACATTTCTCAAGAGAAGAAAACATTAATTTAATCTAGGATTTCTCTTATAGAGTAATGAATGTCATGCACAATTTTTGGTAGTATCACCAAAATAAGATCAAGAGAATAACTCAAATATAGGAGAAAAAGTAAACTGTCATAATTTGAATGTTGGAAGAATCAATACAACTTACAGCCATAAAATTCCTCTTTATTTCTTCATCTTATTGATATCATCATCATTTTTGGAGATGATGTTTGTTAAATAACCAGATAATTCAAATAAAATTAAATGCCTGGTAGGAGAGGTTAAAAAAGAGGGAGCCAAACTCTTCCCAAGGTAATCCAGCAAATAAATCAGATGTGATGCACACAATTTGGATTGCAAGAAATTCAGTTTCAGTATAAGAATAAACATTTCTCTTTTCTCATTGAGAATGAGCAAACTCTTCCAGTCTTAAGCAAAAATCCTTGACAGAGGAGCATTCTACAGTGAGGAAAAATGAAACAGATCAAGAAGGGTATTTTAAAAGATCACCAAAAGACCAAGAGCACTCACTTGTCCCTTAAGTCCCCATCAACAGAATGTATATCAGAGCAGAGTAACACTTGCACACACTTCACATTGAATCCTGAACAAACAGCCAAAAATCATTTGTTCGATTGACCTTGGCCATGTTCTATTCACTACACCTTATCTCAGTGTTAATATTGATTTTATATTTCATATAAATGCAGTAATTCAAGACTTCTAAAACTTATCATATTTTTATTCCTAAGACTTCACAATTTTTCTTTTTCCTAAAGGAACAATACTTAGCTGCTCAGGCTGTACCTTGGAATGACACATTATGCAAATCCTGCCTGCATTCCAAAAGAATCTTATCTGGTAGATACCACTAAAAAAATGTAAAAAAAAAAGAAAACCCCACACAACAAAGGGCTAATTTATAATCCATTTCTAATGAATTGGGAGGAAGTTAATCACATTAAAATAACCACATAAATTTCATTTTGTATTTCTGAACTATATCATGGCTACACAGAAAAGTTTCTCTTTCAGAAATTAGTTTTCTGCCTTAATTCCTACATAAATCTAAACTGTTCCTGAAAAATTGGCCAAAGAAATGCTACTCACAAACCACATGAACAGACATCCTCTATATTCTTGAAATAAGAACATCAATCTTTTTTCTCCCCTAGACTGTATCCATGCTTTGATATTTAAATTAACTTTATGTAAACTAACAGAACTCCAGCATTTATGAGGATTTT